ACGGTGACACGTTTTGTTTATTACATTACATTTAACTAAACTCACCTGGCCAAGCTTTCTATCGCTCTCTCCATGAGGAAGTCACCCAGTGCCGGGCTATAGAAGTCTTCAACTGCGTCAAACTGAAAAGAGCACAGATTTAGTATAAAAATATCCGAAGGTTTATTATATATATTTATTTTCATGTATTTTGTTCTAATTTGAAATATAATTTTCTTGTACAACGAAAGTTTAATTCTGTTCAAGTGTTCAGTTAAAAATCGAATTTTCTCAACACAACTAGTTCCATGCCAGCGCCTCAACCAGACAGATGAATCAGACTGTCAAATTTTTGGTCACATTAAAAGAACGTTTTGTTTTTCCAAAGCACTCTTCGAAAAAAATGAAAAATTGTAGGGAAAATGTGACGTAATATCAAAATGTCAAAATACAAAGTGGTATCCATCAGAAAAAATAAAGTAATGCCATACTCGAAAATTGTCCATAAAAAAGTGTCTGAATAACGTTTTGGTTAGAAATGTCTATAGTATTAGTTTACCACGAAAAAATTAAAGAACGAATTTACAAATCTTGAAGATATTTTAAATTTCTTTTCAGATTATTATTCGGCACGAAAATTCGCATCTTTGCCCTCATTTATGTCAGTAAAATTAGCCTAAGCAAATAAAAAATCCCGAAACTAAAGAGTTTGTTTTTTGTTGGTTATTGAGTGTTTTGGCAAAAAAAAGATTAATTATTTCGCAATGCAATAGTTACTACAACATTTGTAAAATGCGATGCTAACTTCATTTTGCCCAGCCCATATATGATTTTTCTAACTTGAATAACATTCTTACATTTCGCGAGTTTAGTTATTGTTTGTTTCGCGAAATCCGCTTTACAGTAAAATAAAATGTGGACAGGGCTACTTCACACGGAATAAATTCTGTATCATTCTGCTGCTAGAAGGTGCAGAATCGTTAGTTATTTATTGTTCTGATAAAACGAAGCAAAGCGATAGGTATTAAAGGATTTGCAAAATTGGCGAGACTAACTTCACGGCCCGAACCACACTTGATTCTTCAAAATCAAAGATTTGTCTTGGCTTTTGTTCCAGAGCTATAAGCTAACAAAATAAATATATTGAAAACTAGCCTCGGACGGACGGACAGATAGACAGACGAACAAAAATAAAAAATGACTGCAATAGCGCACCCATGTTCGAAATGGAGGTTTTTTCAGTGATTCGTCACTTCTCTGGAAATGCTCTTTTTTTAAAAGAAATTCGCTATTTGTCCAAAAAAGTGGAGAAACAAGTTCCGAAAGGTAAGAACATTTTCTAGAAAGCATCAAGTTACGTTTCGATGACTAATAGCTAAAATTGTTGAAAATTTAGTTCAAACGTAAATAATAAGAAAGTTGAGAGTCGCGTTACATTTTCGATGTGATCAATAATTACTTTTTTGGGTTGTACACGAAATTGTTATGTATGCTACATGAACAGAACCAATAAATTACATAAAAACCAAATCTACTTAAAAAGGGCGATTAAAATTTTGAATCTATTGGAAGATTCGTTTCCAAAAACACGGTAGATATTGTCCACCAATAGATGTGATTAAATTTTGATGACACTTAAACTTAATTGTTATGTTTGTAGTTTATTAACTACCCCATTTACAAAGCAAAAACTTACCCTTATCGGTTTTTAATCGAACCACCATGCAAGGACGGACGAAACACTCTAATCGCGGTGAGCGCGCATTTCGAAATAAGCGCGTTTGCTGAGGCATTTGAATACCTGTTATCTACAATTTGTGACGTTTAGGCCATAGAGGTCAGTCCGCCTTACCCCTTATCTAACAACTGGCAAGCGAACGTATATTTAATTTTCATATAAATTGTAAGGTGCTGCGTCATGAAAACAGCAACCCCAAACTTGTAAATTCCCTAAGAACATTGTTTTGGGTGTAATGCTTGCCAAAACCACGTCTTTTGCTCAAGAAGAAGACTAATGAATTTGGACCTTCTACAATATTTCAAGTTATTTCTAAATTGTAAGGTACTTGTCTTTAAAAAAACACATCAAAACTTCTATTCCCAAATGAAATCGTTTGTAATTGCGTTACCGCCATAATAATTTCATTTCCGAAATTCCTTAACTAATACTTGGCCCCCGAATTTTAAAACAGCTCTAAAACCGTCGTTTAAAATGTTACCACTTACACCAACCACTCGCCTTTGCACAATGTGCTAATGAACTTGAATTTTCTAGCATTTCTAATGTGCCTTACGAAATCCCTAGGGGCGACGTTTGGGGATCAAAAAGGCACCTGATCCTTGGGTAGGAATTTTAGAGATTAGAAAAGTCATGCCTGAAACCTGGGTATAGTCGCAAGTTCAATTGTTCTATTTGTAGTGGTTGCTGAGACAAATACTTGTGCAAGGTAATAATACAAGTTGCTATATTGAATGAATTTTTGGACCAATTAAATGCTTCTAATAATCGCCCAGATTTAACATGAATCCAGAGAAAAAGAATGAAATTGCTAGTTGCAGTTTTTAGGCATGAAGTGACACAATAATCTTGAGTTGTTTGTTTCGATTTGAAGGGGCATTTCATTTTGTGAAGGAAGTATACGGTTCACTCTATCAAATTAATTCAAAATTAGTAAACTCTGCGACAATTATTATTAAAGATAATCAAAAGGCAAATGTGTTTTTTTGTTAAAAATGAAATTATCAACCGACTTCTAAACACCTGTTTAAAATACCGACGCCGCCAACGCAATGGACTACACATGTGTTTCCAATTAGACTCGCATATATAAGACGATTGTAATATTGTCGTGTATACATTTTTGATTTGGAAAATGATTGATTGAAATTAACGGCAGTTGTATTGAGGTAAATTTCCATACACAATAATTAAGTCAGCCTTCTCCTATTGTCCAACTCCAAAATCATTTTGCATTGGATGCCCAATGTTTAAATTCAAAATCCAAATTACTTACTGAATTTTACGCGATACCTAATCTGTGCTTGTCAAAACTCACCCTTAGCTTTTTTGCTTTCGGCACTAGGCACTCTCCTTGAAACCATTTGGAATGTTTGGGAACCATTCCGCACAAAATGCACTTCACTTCGCGTTAACACAATCGAATGATTTGGTCATAAGTTATATTTTTGATGGAGGGGCGGTAACGTAAGCAGGTAGAGATTAATCACCTGATGCGCTTATCTGCACGTGCGGCCACTTCTACCTTTCAATCATTGTTTTTCCGTACCGAAGGAATTCGTTCCTGATAAAATATGACAGGTGAACTACAATTTTTTTAACCCATGTGGTTGTGTTCTAAATGAATTTACATTCACTTGGATAAAGTCAAAATGTGACTTTCCTTGTCTACCTCCCAATTGCACTATGTCACTGAAGTAGCTTTCTTTGACTCGTTCAAAAATGAACTTTAGCTAATTGTTTTACTCAATATTCCCACGCAGTATTTGAAATATAACAATCGCAAATATTGTTATTAATTTATAATACCTGTGAGAAGGTATGAGGAAGCGTATAGGTTTTTCTACATGGAAGCGGCGATAGTAAAGTAGGTATTGGAATGGAGTGTCAAGTATGGGGAAAATTTAAATTTCGAAATGATTTCTGAGGATTTATAAGGAATTTTATCCGATTTCAGGGAGTGCCGTGGAAATCCAGGAATTATTGACGGGGAGCTTAACGGATTTCCAAAGACCAAAGGGAAATTCGAGTTTTCAAACTAATTTCTGAACATCTTGTAACATATTTTGTAATATCTCTCAATCATTGAAATCCCAGATATATCAGACCTTATGAAGAGGAGGCACAAACTCAAACTTGCCGTAGAGCGTAGACTTCAGGTATTCAATAAAAACCAAATTTCTTATAATCACATAACGTATTTGTAGGAAATTTTCTATAGTAGCTTGGCAGCTAGTTCAGGGTTCACTGAAGAAACGCATTGAAATAAACCATCTTCAGTTCAGAGATGCATATCCTAGGTTGTACTTATATCAAATAATTGTTACTTTGACGTTTTACACAAAATTTGAAATTTAATGGTTTGAATCCCTTTCATATGAACGACGAACCTACGTTGATATTGCTATACGCCTGTTGAGCATTTCTTACTAAAATCTATTATATTAGACCGAGAGATTTTGTGCGATGATTAGTAAACCTATTTTACCGCAATTTTCTTTTTGCATAGCTTAGAACTAGCGTATAAACGTATACAATGCGTCTGTTGTGCGGTCCGTTCTATTTTTATGTAATTTTTCCAATTTCAACAGCACAACAAACAAACGTTTATTAATATACGTCTGCCATCAATTTTAAAATAATATTGGAGAGAAAAAATAATAGGGCGCTAGCACATTTGCAGATGTTTATCGTTATCTGCTCGCTTGGTACCGGGTGATCCAAAATGACTGCGGACAGTTTGAATTGACCGCAAAACAAAACATTTATAAAGTTGGTAACATATATACCAAATGTTATTTATTTAAAAGCAGTGGTGGATCAATTTAATGGATCACTAAGAAAATAGAGGGGGAGGGGGAGGGGGGATTGATCTATTGTAGAAATTGCATCCTAAAACCATATGATGTTCTAGCTGATAGTGCAGTCAAGAGTCATGCTTCGAGCTTCACTATCTTTCTAGAGGTTTTCAACGAACGCAACGGACAACCAGGATGAGATCTCACTTACTGCGACTTGGGGATATTACAAATTAACAAAATTACGGGAAGCAAATCAAGTGATAAAAACTCCTCTTCGTTCTTAAACCTGGTAAAACTTTTCAGTTTGGATTTATCAGAACTGGAGAATTAAATGCTTGCTGTAGAATATCATGCGACATCTATTTCAAACTACAGTAAACTCTTGATATAGCATTCTGCAATACACTGAAAATGGTATTGCAATTTCCTAAATACTGCAATGTTAAGACTCAAGTGGCATTGCTCTTTACGCTTTACCATTATGCCAATGCCTTTACTAGTGATAAAACTATCTGTAATACTGATAGGCGCACACTCGTGAGTGATGAGCCGGTCGATTTCCTGATATTTTTGTTGCTGATTATTTTCATTTTACAGAAAACAATAAATGCACTCATCCCAACACTAAGCAATTTTGCGCACGTGTAGGTTTTTGTTTTGGTGGGGGGGTTTAACCACCGGTTGGTACATTTAAATTTTAGCTGTGTTTCATCATCCACAAACGTGTCAACGTCTTGGCTCTCTGAAGTATCTCTGAAATTTAAATCACAAATTTTACAAGTAAGTGATTGTGCTAAATGACTAATTTGAAATAAATGAAATTTAATTTTTTACAGCAATGTGTGGAATTTGGGCACTCTTTGGAATTGAGTGCAACATGCTGAAGTATTGCGGAACTTCGTTCCCGAAAATTACACACAGGGGGCCGGATGCATGGAGAATTGAATACGACAATAATATCAAGGTAGGTGTACGCTTAAATTCACCCAGAGTACAAATGGCACGTGGCTATCTGCACAAAATAGATTCACCCGAAAGCATATTTCAAAATCTTTTTCACAAATATGCGGCGCTCTATTTTTTAATTATAGCATTTTTATTTGTCGGTTCTCCAACTGCAATCTTATCTTTCACAAGATAGAATTTATTGCATTGATCCCTTTCGTGCAAATGTGAACTTTTTATTCCTGACCTTAGAGCTTTGGTTTCTAGTTGCCGGCCGCCAAATTCATATAGCAGTAAATTGAGTAGATAAAGGAAAGACACACAATCACTTCTAATGTTCTCGATCATGTTACAAAATATCAATACCAATATCAAAAACAAAAGGGCCCCATGGGTTTTAATCATGATATAAGCACGCAGTGGCAAAATATTAATTTGGTTTTCCTAGAACTGCGGCGTTGGTTTTCATCGCTTAGCGATTGTCGATACCACCTACGGAATGCAACCACTCAAACTGCACCAATACCCACATTCGGCTTTAATCTGCAATGGGGAATTATACAACTGCATGAAGGTAAGGCCCTTCCTTCTAACAACGGTTTCACTCCCACCCGTAGCTTAAAGAAGAGCACGGCTTCGACTACGAAACAAACTGCGATGTGGAATGCGTCTTCCACCTGTACCAAAAATTTGGAATTGAAAAGTGCGTAAGAAGTCTCGATGGTGTCTTTGCGTTCTGTTTGATTGATGTACCCAACCGGAAAGTACTACTCGCCAGGGATCCATATGGCGTTCGGCCTTTGTTTAGAGTGTTCACCAACGGTGGTGTTTTGGGCATATGCTCAGAAGCCAAAGGTTAAATCCGAAACCTTCTCCCGATAATTAACCCATTTACTTTAGGTATAGCGTCAATTTCCCAGCAGACGAATGGCGACGAATGGTCCCTCGAGCCATTCCCACCAGGTACCTTTGAAGAGTATCAGCTACTCGATGATGGTAAAGCAAAATTTATTAGACGGGAAAAGTTTCACGGACCAGGAGACCGTCCCACTTTCAAACCGTTCTTGCCATACGAAGGTAAGTTGGCGTATTATCGCCCGCATACATTTTCGCCCCGTAGATTTAACAAACGATCACCTCGCGAATATCCGATCACTGTTCACTACGGCAATTAGAAAACGTCTAATGGCACAAAGACGGATTGGGTGTCTACTCTCAGGAGGTTTGGATTCGTCCTTGGTCGCTTCTATTTTAGTTAAAGAGGCGCGTGCCGCCAACCTCCCGTATAAAGTGCAATCATTTTCCGTGGGCATGGGTGACAGCCCCGACATTAAAGCCGCCAGAGAGGTAGCGAAGTTCATCGGCACAGAGCACCACGAGGTGATATTCACGGAGGAGGATGTAAGCAACGTTTTAGACGATGTCATCTACCACCTGGAAACCCCAGATATTACAACAATCCGGGCATCAGTGGGCATGTACATTGTTGCCAAATACATACAGGAAAATACAAACACAACCGTTATATTCAGTGGAGAAGGTGCTGATGAACTTTGCCAAGGCTACATTTACTTCAGAGACGCGCCAAGCTCAGACGAAGCTCACGAGGAGAGCTTGCGGTTGTTACGCGAAATCTACCTCTTTGATGGCTTACGAGCCGACCGCACAACTGCAGCTCACAGGTTTGTCAAATACACTACCTACGCTCTATAACCAGCTATTCATTCTTTCAGCCTGGAACTTCGAGTGCCTTTCCTTGATCTACAATTTACAAACTACTTCCTCAGCCTGCCCAAAGAAACTAGGCAACCTAAAAACATGAAGTTAGAAAAGTACCTTCTAAGGTACGCATTTAATGACACTGGAGTATTACCGGATCACATACTGTGGAGGCACAAGGAGGCCTTCAGCGACGGTGTAACCTCCCATAAGAAATCCTTATTTACAATTTTGCAAGAGATTATCGATAAACGAATGCCCGAGGTGTTTGATGCGGCGGTTGCTGAACAGAAGTATCCGCACTGTACGCCGAAGTCGAAAGAAGCGTTTTACTATCGGGAGGTATTTGAAAAACATTATCCGAAATTGGCTGAGAAGTTTATTCCGTTCTTTTGGATGCCGCGGTGGATAGAATCGCAGGATCCATCAGCTAGATTTATTAACCATTACGCAGCCGACAAGGAGAGCGATAAGGAAATTACGCACGGTTAATTAAGTAGTTAATTATGTAGGTCAAGATGAATATTTTTACATTATCTGTAAGTTATTTATTACATAAAAATATTTGGATACACATAAAAAGTGCGTAATTTTATTACACTGTTAATTTCCATTCGTGTACGCGTGCCCCCGAGAAACGGACTCCATATGTATTTAGATCAAGTTTATATACAAGGTGAATGTTACGCCACGTATTATCTAGTTTTGGTATAATGATATATTTTCCAATAGTTTTCCCCAATCAAAGTTTTTAAAATTACAAAACTCAAAAGAAACATTGCACATTTTATTTGGCACCACCAAAGGCATGCGTATGCAAATTCTTAGACCAGTTGGTTGTTGCGTGCAAAAGTTATGCACGTTTTACGTTCAGAAACAGCATCTTAGGAAATAATTCATGAGGGGTCCCCCCTTGACAGCAAAATTTGATAACCGTCTGGCACATCTTCAAGGTATAGGCTACATATTGCAAAAAATTGCAGGACTCTAGAACCATTCCCCTAAAAGTAGTTCAAACCGCAGAAGAGGGTCCGGACGGACGGACAGACGGATAGACGAGTAAAAAAAGAGGGGCGAGGGTGAACACACGTTTTACCCTTCATGGTATTCTAATGAAAGGTCTCGCCGAAATGAATTCATTTGTACAAACTATAACTTTCTTGCGCGACTCCTTTCCGAGATCAGTAGGTGGCCGATGGGAGGAGGAAAGGGGTAGAAATTAATTCTATCTTTCATGGTATTCCAATTAAAGGTTTCAACAAAAGGAACTATTTTCTACCAACTACCGCCCTACTTTCTGACTCCTTATCAAAAGAGGAGATTGGGGGGAGGGGGTGATAGGAACTGGTTTTTTCCTTCATGGTACAAAGGGCGATTGGGACGTCTGGAAGAAATATATCTATTGGCGATGTCAAAACTTTAATAGCGAATATCCCCATTAATAATTAATTAAACAATAAAACATCGATAAATATAGCATACCATAGCAAGTCTCTGGTTTCTAGTCTATAACTTTTGATGAAAAAGTCTGATCGAAAAAGTACGAATTGATTTGGATTCTACGCACCCAAATTAATAAGAAAAAGTGTTTTCCCGAGAAATTTTGGTGTAGTCGATTTTTGGTAAAAAAGGAAGGCCTTTTTTTGAGCCCCGAAAAAAAAATTTTCTTTTAAAATGTGGCCTGTAGAATCCATAATTTCAAACAGTACCAAGTTTACTAGTTCAAAAGTTACAGCCCTTTGAATTTTCTTTCGAAATTTGTTTCTAGTCTGTAACTTTTGACTAAGATGTCTGATCGAAAAAGTACGAATTAATTTGGATTCTACGCACCCAAATTAATAAGAAAAAGTGTTCTCCCGAGAAATTCCGGTGTAGTCGATTTTTGGTAAAAAAGGAGGGTTATACACTGCCTTTTTTTGAGCCACGAAAAAAAATTGTCTCAGATCGACCCGGGAAAAAAATTTTCTTATAGAATGTGGCCTGTAGAATCCATAATTTCAAACAGTTCCAAGATTGGGCTACTAGTTCAAAAGTTACAGCCCTTTGAATTTTTTTTCGAAATTGGTTTCTGGTCTATAACTTTTGATTAAGATGTCTGATCGAAAAAGTACGAATTAATTTGGATTCTACGCATCCAAATTAATAAGAAAAAGTGTTCACCCGAGAAATTTTGGTGTAGTCGATATTTGGTAAAAAAGGAAGGTTATACACTGCCTTTTTCTGGCACCGAAAAAAAAATTGTCTCAGATCGACCCGCAAAAAAAATTTTCTGATTGAATGTGGCCTGTAGAATCCATAATTTCAAACAGTTCCAAGATTGGGCTACTAGTTCAAAAGTTGCAGCCCTTTGAATTTTTTTTCGAAATTGGTTTCTAGTCTATAACCTTTGATTGAGAAGTCTGATCGAAAAAGTACGAATTGATGTGGATTCTACGCACCCAAATTAATAAGAAAAAGTGTTTTTCCGAGAAATTTTGGTGTAGTCGATTTTTGGTAAAAAATGAAGGTTATACACTGCCTTTTTTTGAGCCCCGAAAATAAAATTGTCTCAGATCGACCCGGAAAAAAAATTTTCTTATAGAATGTGGCCTGTAGAATCCATAATTTCACACAGTTCCAAGATTGGGCTACTAGTTCAAAAGTTACAGCCCTTTGAATTTTTTTTCGAAATTGGTTTCTAGTCTATAACCTTTGATTGAGAAGTCTGATCGAAAAAGTAAGAATTGATTTGGATTTTACCACCCAAATTAATAAGAAAAAGTGTTTTCCCGAGAAATTTTGGTGTAGTCGATTTTTGGTTAAAAAAAGCGAAGGTTATACACTGCCTTTTTTTGAGCCCCGAAAATAAAATTGTCTCAGATCGACCCGGAAAAAAAATTTTCTTAAGAATGTTGCCTGTAGAATTCTTTCATTCCTCCATCGCTACTTCTTCACCTCTCCTTTCTTAGATCATTTTGTCACTACGCCTAGTTCGCGCCCTATTGGCTGTTTTTACTGCCTTCTTATTCGATGACGTCTTCTTGAATCACCTTCTTTCTCATCATTTGAAAGATTCCGCAGTATTTCTCTCTGTTGGTTTTTAGAATGGAATATTAACAGAGGAAGTGGAAGAAAGGAAAACTGTTGTTTTACTTTAATATAAATAAATTGAAACAATGTAGGTATTATAATAGATTTATTCTAAATAATAAATTTATTCCATACGGATCGTAGTTAATTGAAAATGCATTTATTATTAAAGTACTTAAGCTAGATTTAAATTAAATAAATTAGGCAATATACTCGTCTAAAAAGGACCTAACTTAACAAATTTCGGATTGTTCTATACAATTAATCTTAAATAATAAACTAATGTAAATCCATGACAGCGATCTACGAAATACATGTACAAGTAACGTTGTACAATTTTGGTTTATAGTAAGGGAGGGAGTTGCGAATTAAATAAAGTGATGAAATATGGAGAATATTATGTTTGGTCTAAAAATCCGTTTCCACGTAGGATCATCATCATCTTGAGGAAACCCTATATTTTTTATCTCAAGTCTGTACCTGAACAGAAGAACTAACTCTATTTAAAGGGTTGTCAGGTGCTGCCTTCGCCGCTACCACCATTTCACAATTCTTCCACATTTTAGCATCCTCTTGGGGTGCCTCCTCCCAAACTACAACTTTTGATGGATAGTATAACCACTACACTGATGAATTTTTTGTTTCGCCTCCTCCATTTTGACTCTTTCTTATACTGACGTTAGCATTTGCAATATTAATGACAACTACCCCCACATAAATATTAGAATTATTAGTTGCCACTGCTTGTTTTGACATATTAAAACTTTCGGGATTTATTGGAATTTTCTCGAAAAGCAACTCGACCGGCTCGACGCCGTCCGGATCCTCTTCCTCATATTCGTCCACACTAACCGTCACATTTCCTTCGCCGACGCCGGTAACGTTATAAACAATTGTTTCGTTTTGACTCACCGCTTCAATTGGAACTTCATCCGGCGGCACTTCGGTGGTGTACACCTGCGTATCCCACGTGGCCGGTCGACTCAAATCTTCGTAAACATAATTGGAAAAGTACGATTGGATTTGCTGGACGACGAACTCGAGTACCGGCGGGAATTTACTAACGGAGGGTTGGGGGTTTAAAAATCCCAGGCGAATTAGTAGCGGTGGTTTTGCGTTGTTCAACCGCACTGTGTGGCTTATTGCTAGTAGACAGAGAATAACCACTAGAAAGGCAAAGGATCTCATTGTTGTTATGGGTGACGGTCGACTAATGCAATTGATTGAAATAAAATTAATAGCAGTACGGATTGCAAACTGACCATGGCATGGGTGGGTGACCTACATGGACAAAAATCTGGCACATGGGCTGTTCGCATAATAAAATGCAATATCGGTACGGTATTCTTCTTGTCTGCATGTGAAGAAAACTCGGATGGTTATAAAACAAGTTTGTAAAATAAATATAGCTAATGGCGCGGGAATTTGCAAGATAATTATATCCGCAGTTTCCTGATCTGTGTCATTCGGTCCGTTATACGTACAACACGCCATCGTTTCTTGGTACTCAATTTCGTTTAATTAAACTGATTGAAAATAAAAATATTGATTTCCTCCGACTTCGATCTATGGAAATTCGTGAATGCGAACGCCCACGACAATTAAACGCATAACGGCACCAAACCATTGTGCTGGTCAATCCTTACATGGTTGATATAAGTAATTAACATTACAATCAAAACTGCATTCCATTTCCATTGATTATAGGCCATCGACAACTGGTATTTATTTTTGCAAGCTGTTAGGGGTTTGGTGACTAGCGGATCTCTTCAAATTCCATGCAAACTTTATAGCAATCGTATGTTCGACGTTCGAGATGTGTCTGTGTTTCGTGGTCTTGCTTACCTACGTCAGATTTTCGTATTCCGCCCCGGCCATTGGGTTGGAGACTTACGTACAAAGGTTAGTAGGTACTGTTTTGCATCCTTCCACACAGTTAAATCTAATAACTAAGTAAATAACCAAAGCGCCACGCGATTGTAAAGAGTGTGCTTAGATTGTTTGGAGATTACCCTTTCCAAAAAATTGTGTGAACAAAGTTTCAGTGAAAGGTCCAGCAATAAAATTCCACTTAAAAGCTCTGAAACAGCTCAACTTTCCTTTAGAAATGCCAGAGGTGTACGTGTACCTCCCTATCCAGGTTCATTCGCAGTGATCGAATCCAATTTTGTACTCCCTAAGGAAACATTCGTTTTTGGTCACACGGTCACTTTGGTCTCAGTTTTCTCTGTCCATAACGTAACAGCCTTTCAATTCATCAAATAGACATAATTTTTTTGGAAAATCTTAGCAACTTTACGATTTAGAGTGAATTTTTAAAAAAATTTCGTTCGTACATTTGCGTCTTCGTGAAGGGTTACGAATTTAACTTTGTTTTTCTTGCCGTTAATATTTTCTATTAACATCCTAGAGCATCAGTTGCGCTTATTGCGTATGGTGACCACTCAGGCATTCTGCTATTGCGAAGGTAACAAAATGGCGGACCAACTAGCCAAGAAAGATCGGTATTTGCATTTTATAGGACTTGGAAAAATATCTCTGATCAAAGCCAAGACAAGCCCAAGGGCTGAAGACCTGCTGAAATCTACATTCTGTAGCAATGATTTATTCCTATTGACATGGCTAGCACTGTCAAATGAAAAGACACTTGTTCAAAATGGGCCTTGAAATAGACCTTCTGCGCCAAATTATATTTTGGAGAGTCTGTGTAAACAAGACAAAGAAACCTGAGATTCTGTAGAGAGATTGTGAGCACGTTTTGATAAAATTTTGAATATATTTTGTAGACATTTTGGAACAATGTTCAGCGATTTTGAAAAGATGGATGCAGATACTTTTGACTGGACATACATTAAGAGGACATTAAAAGAATTATAAAGCGATTTTGAGCAGAAAATGTGAAAAGAATTTGAAATAGATTTCCCAGGGACTTTAAAAAAATAGTAAAGAAATTTTCAATTCTACCTACAAGGCTGTGTTTTTGAAATAATGAAATAATCCTAGGAAATCCTATGCACTTGACATAAATAAAGTAAATCCACGCATTCAAAAAGTAACCATAATTACTCACTAATGCTATGGATATGGAATAGAGGGAGAACTTTATCCAATGGACGTACGATCGCCACAATGGAGCGAGAACACTACTACTTTATCCAGTGGACGTACGATCACCGCAAAGCAGAAAATTCGAGAAAGGAAATACGCCTGAAAATCTTCATAATTAAATTCTCAAATCCAAAGTCTAAAGTAAGAGGTAGAAGGGGTGGCTCTAACCGATTCTCTCAAGATTGAAGGTGATTTTAAAACGACCATAAACATTTCGGAGAAATTTAGATTTTCGTTTAGTCCAAGAGCCCAGTAGGAAAGTATACCTTGAACGCCGGGACGATTCTAATCATTTTCATAGGATTCGCCATAAAAAGTTGCATTAGAATCGACAACGGTGCCGGCGAAAATCCTGCCGAAAGCAGTAAAAAAAAATTAAATTCGCTCAGAGATTCGCCCCTTATTTTTGGATGATGTACTTTATTGTCCCGGACGTCCAGGAAATCTAAAGGGCTTTTATTGGCGCAGTGCCAATAGGATCGCGCGCGCTCGGATTCCATCGACGGTGCCGAGGACTGTCGGCATCCTGAGAGTCGGCACATTTCCTATAGGTCATTTTGGTCCGGGAGAAAAAGGTAGTTTAGTACGATTTACCACCCCATGTAGTCGCGGTGCCAAGGGTTGCGGCAAGTTGCGCCCCGGCACCGTGACTTTTTCCGATAAAACTCATCCATATGCACCCTTTAGTACTCTTCCTGAACGTCCGGGACAATAAAGTACATTTTCCAAAAATAAGTGGCGAATTTAATTTTTTTAACTGCTTTCGGCAGCATTTTCGCCGGCACCGTTGTCGATTCTAATGCAAATTTTTATGGCGAATCCTATGAAAATTATTAGAATCGTCCGGGCGTTCAAGGTGTACTTTCCTACTGGGCTCTTGGACTACTTGTGGAAATGAGAAAAGACATTCTGAAAAGTTCTGCGGGAAGTCTGACGAGATTCTCAAAAAATATTTATAGGAATGTGAGGGAATTTTAAAGGTATTTTAAAAAGACTTTTAAAGAAACTCTAAAGAAACGTTGAAGAGATTATAAAAATCCCGAAGAGATTCTACCTACATAATGAAAATAGTTCTGAATGGTTTTTGAATATATACATTTCTTTGGATCGACATTAGGAAGATTAAAGGAACTAAAGAGTTCTTAAACATTTCAGAAAAGATCCCGTAAGAAAGACATTGAAAGACTCTTGCAAAGATTTCGAAAGCGTTTTCGATGACGAAAAAACAGAAAAAACTTTCAATTCATTTTACAGCAACTTTGAAAAAAACTGTAACGACATTTTAAAGAGACTTTGAAGAGATCTGAAGGATTTTTTGAACACAACCTGCAGTAATTTAGTACAACATCTTAGATACTTCGACATGCAATGTATCAGCAGACTTTCCTTGGGGTTTTATTTCACAAGATTTCTATTACTATTCATTCACTTTAAATAATTACACAGAACACGCTCAATTGGGGATTTTCTGATCTTGATTGGAAATTTCATATCCAATTCGAGTGAGTTTAAATGGGCACCGATTTTTCTTTCGCAATCAAAACCCAATTAATTTCTTGGACAGCGACGTAGTTTCTTGTTCGGATCAAAACCAAATCTCCTCTCTAAACACTTTCCAAATAATGAACTAACCCCTTCTACTTTGACTTAATGGCCATGTTTTTCCAATTTATTATTGAGCTGATTGGTTTAACCGAATTAGTACATTTTTATATGGTTATAATTACCTATTGTTCTTATGGTTTTTAATTCTGTTACTGTTAAATATTTTTTGTATTGATTACATATATCTACTTCTCCAAATAATTCTGTGTGTCGTCTTTCGTATTCAATCATTTTTTGGGATAAATCTGTAATTTTTTTGTATTTATTCTCTGCTCGGTTTGTTCTTATTCCTTCGTATTGTTCGGATTTTGTGCTCCTTCAGACCCTATCTGAGATTACGATTTAATTAGCTTTCGGAAGTTTAGTACTGTCTTGGAGTTCATCGATAGTTCACTTTTATTAACGATTCTCGAGATTGTTTATAATTTTGTATTGTTGTCTGTCTGCCCGTCCGTCTGTCTTCTACCCGTGTGCACGATAACTTTATGTAGAAATGTCCGATCGCTTCGAAAATTAATACTCATATTCTTCAGGATATAAGAAAAGTCGCTATTAGACTACGCTATTAGGCTACGTAGACTAACGGGCCAAAAAGTTACCGCTCAAAAACTGTCCAAACCTCCAAAAATGGGTTTCTTTGGAATTCTTGTTACAAAGAACATATGAATGTCCGCTATACAGATAAAAAAATCGCGCCTGTGCAACCCGACTTTTCTATTTGCGCAATCCCAATTTTTTTTATTTGTTGAAAATTGAATGAAATGTTTTATGTAGGCACCTAGGTAGACACCTTGAATAAAAGTAAAACTAATGTCGGTTCAAAAAATTTGATTTACAAGCTATGCTGATCTGGTGGGACAGAATCAACCCTTTAAGGTGTGTTGTAAAAATGATGGAAGTGTGAAGAGCTCGAGGATCGTTCGGTATTCAGTTGTATGGGATTTTTTATTTCGCATTCCTATTATCCCTACTATTTTTTATATCTCTCTTCTTCCATCTCAGTTCATTAATCACTTGTCGGGAAATACTTTATACCTTCTGCTAGCTTAAACGGGATATGTATATAAATATATTTAAGGACATAAGGGGGTGTAGAATGAATTAGGGTTGGTTGGGACATGATTTCTCTTTAGACGGCGGAATTAAGAGAAAATCAAGGCTCGCGTAGGCAGAGTTGCGCCTCTGAAGTAGATTTGACTTCTGCTGGAGTTGCAGAAGGTGTCTACCCGCTACCTTCTGAAAGCCGCAGACTAGATTTCTTCTTTCTTTGGCTTCTACGATATCTAGTATTTAAAATAATCTAGAACTCCAAACAAATAAATGGCCTTCTTCTGCACATGTACGATTTAATTTAATTTGACTTCAACTATCATTCGCAGCGTAACAAGTAATAAAATATCATTGACAATACCTGTAAGGTTATTCGCAGATCATGTCTGAGCTTGAGACTACCATTAATGCATTATGTAACATCATAGATACGAAATAATGATTCCCGATCTACTACTTGTCGATTTTATTATGACAGTTCATGCAAAGTAAAACAAATTGATGATTTATTAACGGCGATTGCTTGGACATGGCTATTAATGTTGAAGCGTACATGTTTATTAAAGGTACCTAGTTGCAATTAACGATTGTTCCACTGCGATGCGTAAACCTATACAATTTAACAACGAAATGATTCACCGCTTTAATTAAGATAAATAGCAAAGGGAGGATGCACATTAGGACCTATAATATTCCAATTTTAATTATTTTGGCTTTACATGTTCTTTATACGATAACTTAAATCGTCAGGATCTACTCCACTGGGCCCATACCAAAAACCGCCAAGATGATTTTCAAAATTGCTCTTTTGTGAAAGTTGTATAACTAATATAAGGTTTTCTAATGTTACAGACCAACTGTGTACGCATATGCGGCCACTCACCCTCGGCTTCCCACAATTGGCGACTTAATAAGCAGCTCAACTTGGTTCCCAATCGAAATCAACGTCCCCGACCTATTCGGCAACATCATCAGCGGAATACAAGCAATTCCAACTACAATTTCGAATGGAGTATCAGGTTTCGTCGCACTTGTACAGCGAATTCCGTTCGTCAACCGCTTCACCTCCCCAGAAAAGCCGAGGCCGTACTTGGTCTTCATACCGGACCCGCCTATTAACGTCGTCGGCATAAGCTACCCAGAAGAAATCGACTTGATACCGAACTACCCCTGAATTAATACACGAAGTATACAAAAGGTGACTTTATTGTTGACGGAGAAAAAAGCCCACAATTGTGATTGAACAGTAATAAAGCAGTGATATATAAAGTATAAATATTTATTAAATAGTAACAAAAATAAATATTCGAAACAATTTTTTTGACGTGTTTAAATTTCATACTCAAGCGGAAGCGTGATAAGAACTGGAAGACCCACTAGGCCGCGGTCCCTCGCCTTTTAATTGTTTTTCGAAAAGTTCTTTGTTTTGATTATAGGCCGCCTCCAGGTTTTGGCCCTCTTTACCTACAATGATACCGACTGGGTAGTCGAAGGAGTAGAAGAATCCTTTTGGTGGGCCTGTTTCCTCCTCCTCTTGATGGGGTCGTGCGGGGCCCTGAGCCCATTGCTGTTGCGAGGCACCGGCATGTGCCCATATGCCGTCAACGTGAGCGCTGGCGGCCGCATTCACGTTGTTGTCTGCAGCTGCTGGGCTTTGCACCCACGATTGTTGGTTGTTGGAGTACTGACCGCTGTAATCTACGCTGTTCGCGCTTGGGTGTTGGGGTAGCACTTGGGTCGGTATGTGTTGGATTGGCTGATTGTGTAAGGGCGCAGAAACATGTTGTGGTTGTGGGGCTTGAGGTATTTGGGGCTGATATTGACTTTGTACCTGAGGCTGCTGGGGGTGCGCGATTTGTCCTTGGTACTGTTGGTACTGGTTCTGGAGCGACTGCGACTGGGCTCCGAAGTTATTGTACTGGTTTGAGTATGGGTCCCTTAAATTGAATTTGACAATTTAGCCAGTGAAGTGGATTATATTACACTTACGGAGGCGCTTGGGAGTTTCTAAGGGCTTGCTCGTGCCAAATCCGTAAATGCTCCTCCTTGGCTGCTTTCACCTCAGGATTATCTTCGGGTTGGTCCTTTGGTACGTTATCGATCTGATGGAAACCTGTACCGTCATCCCAATATTGCACCTGAAAAGAACCAAACTTAGATCTGAACGAATGGGATCCATTTTACCTTAATTTCCTGCCCATTTCCGGCGATGTAGTTGTACGCTCCTTTAAGATTGCCGCTACGTTCCTTCTTTTCCGTTTTGGCAATGTCTGGAACGGAGTACCCGTAAACGTAAGCGCCCAAACCGTCCTGGCCGTGGTACTGATTGGCCAAATAGATATCTTCGTTAACGTGCTCTGGGTGGTTTCCAATGTATCGAAGTGAGGGTACGTTTGACTCAATTTTTGGCGCATATTTCAGCGTTTGATCTTGTTGATTAATGTATTGTGCCGCATGATCGGGTTCTAATTCGACCAATCTTACTTCTTCTGCCCACGCAGCAGATAGTAATAGCTGAAATGAAAACTGAGAAATTAAATCGCAACTGAAAACGTCAGCACGTGGACTTGGTCAAAAGCAAAACCAGCATTTGTATCCGGTTCATAAATTCCATTATGTAATGTTTGTATACCTAATTATCAATGTCTGGGAAGGGCAATTAGGTTTTTGCGCTTGTTTTAACAATTGTGATTAATGGTTGCATGATAAACTGAGCAATTATTTTAGAGCTTCCTCGCACTAATTTACATCCGACCTTTGTTCCTGATAAACATTTATTGATGACATCAGGTATAGCTAATAGAAAATTCGTTAATAGGTATTTACCTTGAACAATTGTGTTTAATTTTTATATTTGCGTAAATGTAAAAAAGCAGTACCTAATACGTAGTAGTAAGTCTTCAATTTAAAACCATGGTTTCACATGTGGATTTTACGATTAGTTAACAAACAACTATCATTGTTGCACAAACTAATACAAGGTCCTTACACTTTTTAATTTTGGTACGAATACACCATTTATGAAAAATTAAATCGATCAATAACTTCAATCAAAAAGCAAATTGTTGCTAATCCATATATTTATAAGCATATAATCTATATTTTTTTAATTCTTTTCTTTTTGGGACGCAAGAATTAATTTTGTATTTTAATAATTTCAGTTTCGTTAAACAAATTACTGATTGTACTAAACCGATTTACTCATTGATAATTTATGTTAAGGGTAAGAATTAATTTTTTTGTTGTAAAAATTAAAATTTTAAAAAATCACTTACCCCAAGAATTAATAACCGCATTATAAAAAACGTAGTAATTCAATAAATGTGTATAAAAACTGCACCTTGAATAATTAAACAAAATTCACAAATTATTCAATTAAGCAACACAACTTCTTATATATAAAATCACAAACTTCCACCACCACAAATTAAATTAAAAGATGATGATGTACGTGAATCAGAAGTTCTACAACTTTTCCCTTGATGCAATATGTATTAACAATTCGGTATGCCTACCTTCTGGTATGGTATTAAATACGTTGATTATATGCGTACGGTTTCTTTTCTTTTGTTCAATTTCCGCCGAAACTTAATCTAGGAAAATAAGCAATAAAGATCAATTCGTAAAAATCAAGGATGCGCAATACGAGAATTATGACATTGAAACAGAAATAACGCGAGTTATGGAACATAATAACCTTCATGAATGATTGTTTTTCGTATTACAGGGTTAAAAATATTGGTAACCCAAGCTGCCGATATAGTAATAACGGAAGAATAATTTACAAATTTTTTTTATCTGGGGTGAAATTCTTATACGTGACTAATGATATCGAATGTACGTAAATATTTATTTACATGTGAGAGTAATGCAACTTTGTATTGAGACGTAAGCTAAAAAGCAAAAAATTTACTCCTGGAAGCACTAGTTTGTTATGTGTAAATTTAATAAGGCGTTAATTAAATGATGCACTTCATCAATTGGTTTCGGTTTCAAGGTAGCTACTTTTTACGTGTTTTACAAATCGATGTAATGTAAGAAACAGGTATTTTTTATTAGTTTATGTGTTCATTCATTTAGAGGGTGAGTTAAAACACCTAAACATCCCTAAAATACACCGCCAGAAAGAACTTGTGTTGTTTCGAGAGGAGCAAAAATCAAAATCCTCTATAGGTAACATAATAGGACCCATTCATCTATTAAAAATTATTAACATTTAGGTACATGTGAAAGCCTTGAGGTACCTATTGGCAAATTTACCGCAAATGCCATGGTCGAACAGGGTGGTATTCCCATTCGGAGAACACGTGTAATAAAAATGACTGGAAGATCATTCACTCGTATTTCCATCGTGCAAGTAGAAGAATGCCGAAATTTGGTTAAGTGCCATTGAAATGGTATAGTAGACTCATTCTAAATAATTTTTAGCCATTTGCTTTTCCAAATGAAAGAGAAAATAGTCAACACTTTGGCACCATTGGCATCTCTGAAAGGGTAGGTAGGAAAGACTGCAGGAAAAGAAAACATTTTTAGAGTACATCCTAGCTACAGTTTTATTTCTTCCAAAAAGTCACAGTTTGCTGACTCACCTGCTGCTCGCAACAAATCTTACCTTTGTACTCAATTCTGTTACCATCTACTTCCTGCATCAAAATACGCCCTAATAACTTCGGCTCCGAAGATTCGCACCCGCAAGAACTCTGCCCCAGATGAAGTCCCCCTCCAAATATTCGTTCCTGGAATATACAAGGGTTCAAACTTCACTTTCTACAGAAGGAAAATCGAGTACATGCCAATTATACCAAGGGCGAGTTTTTGGAAGGTTCATCATTTGAAATCTGGTTTTCGAATTTGTTTGAAGCCCGTTCCTAGCGAGCGAGTATTCCAGCGCGTGTGATATACATCCCTCCAAAGAACTCTCTCATCTTCGAAATATTCGTCCCTGGAGTATTCTCGCTTGGGGATTCATTCGCGTAACATACGCACTCGGAAAATTCGTTCCCGATAAATCCCCATTCTGTGTACCCCTAAGTAAATATTCGCCCTTAAAAAGATTTTTCCGAAAGGTCACTCCTGGAAAATACTACTCTAAAAGTTCATTCGTACCTGTAAATTTACTACACGAACTCTCCCAGCGTGGGTTTACCCCTAAAAGAATTCTTTCCAGTCAAATTCCCCCCAAAGAAGAACCACAAGAAATAATCACAGAAAAGCAAATTCGCGCTTAATGTTGCTATTTGAATTAAGTTCATTAAACTTTTATTCTTCTTTGATTGGCTATTGATACCGTAAACATAGCAGAAGAGGGTAACCTAGAACAAATTAGAGACAAGCAGGTTTTGACTAATATCGATACATAATTACTTGTACTATAACATACTAGATAGTCCCATTTGGTAAACTGATCGCAAGTCAAGAAAAAATGGCAGCCATCTTGAATTTTTCCATTCGTAGCGCATTTTCCAATTCATCGTTGGAAGGCGCTATTATGGCCACTTCATCCGTCCGTACGTCCGAGGCCTAAACTACTCCTGCAGTTTTCAAGATATTTAGTTTGTTCTTTTTGCATTCGGTAGCTTATAGGTCTGGCACATAAACCAAGAAAAATTGATTTTTGAATTTCTTTGAAATTTCAACCAAAGATTCTTCTAGTAAAAGCAAACATATCACATTTTAAACATCAGGTGTGCGCATGCATATTCTGCGCAATGCCAAGTTTCTTTTTTTATAAAAATATTTATACCATAACTTCCTTATTATTATAGATCGTTACATGAGCTTTCGGGAAATACTTATCAATCACCGTCGTCTTGCTTGCTTGGGGTGTTTTCTGGTATCACCTATTCGCCATTGTATTACCGCTTCCATTAGAATTGTCTGAAGCAACCGCTTGATAATGGTCGAATGAACGCTGCCCATTCTGCCTCGCTCTCAACCGATACTGATGAGGATAATCCGAACCCGAAGATGGGTGTGGGAATTGGAAACAAAAGTGGAAAAGTACTAAAGGTGGTTGGACTGGTCACCGTTAATGCCCATTGATCGCCTTTTCCGATCTCCAGGGCGGGAGTGGATCAATTCTATCCCAGAACCCACAAGAGATGTATATTATTATATTTATTATTATTTAAAAAATGTAGATCTTTAAAATGTCTTGCATGCATCTTACACATTTTTTAGGCGTTAAAATGTGTTCTAACAACTATGATTATAAAGAGTAAAAGATCAAAATAAGGATTTTTCATCTTTAGAACTTTACAAAATACATTTGCTTCACGCTAGATCCCTAAAGATCTAAATTCTAGTCTCAGAATTCATCAGGGCCGTCTTTACCCGGAGGTGCAACAAGAGGTACTCGGCACCGGGGCGCCGGACTTAAAGGGGCGCAAAATCAACGTCAGGTGTCATACTTTCAGAGGCTATCAAAATGATCGATTTAATTAAGAAGGAATTTCCATACATTGCATTCATATAACGCCGGCAACTTTTATCGACTTGATAGCGCCTCGATGGCACCTGCTGGCGTCCCGATGTCTATAGATTTCTACACTATTCGCTACAATATTTTTTACATCAGTCAGTCCCATTTACCAGTAACTACGAAATATCTGAGGGGGTTATTATAATTGAAGATCAATCCATATTCACAACTCTTCACATAATGTTCGACGTCCCCAGTCAGAATCGCCCCTATTTTTTCAATATCACAGCTCAAAGGGTAAAGTAGGTATCTATAAAAAAATACTGCAATATGCATATGCCGTATACCTACTCTTTTGCGAAGATTGTTCTAAATGTCAAACTTCTCAATAGATGCTGTTGAAAATCTTCAGAATATATTATATTAATTTAGTTTCAGTTCTTAAAAGCACCTATCAATTAAATTTAATTTATGAAAATCAATAAATCAGTATATTAAATTAAAATTGAGAATCAATCAATTGACGATACCACAACGAGATGTCAAGGTAAGGTAAAATTCTATCACGGAAAATGATGATGAAAAAGAGTTTCTTAAAATAACGCCTGATTTACTCTTTCAGTAGTTATAGGTACACCTCTGTCAATGAAATAGTAATTAGAATTTATTAAGAAAGAACCGCGCCTCACAAAGGTTATTGCCATTAAAAAATTCTTTACATATTCCTCATATATTCGAAGATATTCTCCTATAAACAGTCCGTGTGGTATTATTTGAATCTTACTGGATGAGATCGAAAAGAAAATGCATAGGTAGCTGATGGCCTAATTTAAAAATTTCATTATTGTTCAACTAGGGCGGAACTTGGATCATCCCATGTTATCCTAAAGTACCTACGTACTTATATTCTGAATAAATCTCGTCAATCAATATTACTTAATGGTTTATGCAAATTAAAATTTGTACAACATCTAAATAACTGGAAACCGGATGCTGAACTAATGGGTAGGTAATACTTTTTGTCAGCAGCTTCTTATAAATGTTAAGTCATTGGAAAATTCACACGATTGCATTCAATAACTATACCTCGAGTTATGAATGACACGTGCTAATGGCGCATTGATTCTTAGGGCCATTCAGTTTCAAGGAAAATTCGTACGCAACCAATAGGTCAAAGATGAGAGGTGGTTATTCTTAAAACTGAGCTTCAATTGACAGTTTTATTGATTACCTACACAGCAAAAAAAGAAGTCATGTTTTGCGAATGATTAATAATTGATCACGAAGTTTGTTTACGTAAACGATGATAATCGCTAAGCGGTTAAGCTAATAAAATGTAATTAAGTGAGCGATTTTTAAGTAGATAGTATTCACACTTTTTGCATAATGTAGCAATAATCATTTTTTCTCCTGCAAACGCTTGAATTCTAATTACAGTCGTAAATACATTATATAGTAAACTGTCTTTGATGAAGCAGTACGAAGTACCTATATCTAAAAAAATATAGATACAATAATTACCTGTTGGACATATACCGCACACCCTTTTGGTTCATAAAATCGACAACAGAAATCTTTCACTCTTTATATGTTGTGTGTACCACCTACCTATGACTTATTACCTTTAAGCTCTCATTCCATTATTTTTAGGCGTTAAAGCCTCTGAATAATATATTTAAAAAAGTAGCCTTCTGGAATCGTCATCAATTCCAGTTTGAGCAAATATGCTATTGCGATATGGGGGGCCTTTCAAGTTTCAACTAATACATAATGATTAATGCAGATCGTTTCACTTTTTAAGTAACAATATTATTAAATAATGCAGACAAAAAAGCAATGAAATAATAATAATTAATAAATGATGAACACGGTTATTTAAAAAAATACGTCATTTAAATAATATCGGCATTTAACTACACATTTTTGTAAAAAATGGATCCGGGAGCATATATTGTCAGATCGACAATACTCCAATATGAGATTCAAAAAATTCCCTTTTTTTGGTCACACACAAGAAAACCATCGAGGAAGGTTTATTTTTATAAGAATAAAAAGAGACAACACCGAAGATCGTAGGACTGAACTTAAATTCCATTTCAAATAGGTATAACCAAATCACACGTACAAACAATGCCAACTACGACTACCACCTACGTGTACGACTATAGGTAAAGTTGTTCGGGAAAATTAATCACTATAAGTACGCCAAATTCATCTAGGGAAATAACACAATCTGAACCAAACACCACAAATACTATTTATTTATTAAAAAGCATAGAGATTTGAAGGAAGAGAAAAGAGCTATTGAAAACCTTCCAGGATATGTACGATGTACTCACTTATTACTTTCTCACTTCTTTTCCAATTTGCATTTAACAATTCCACATTATAATTTATAATAGTTTTCAACTTGGTCATGAAAAAGTATCACATTTGGCATTTACGCAAAAAAACATGGTAAAATGCCTCTGCAAACAAATTCAACAAATATATTACACCTCCACTTAAACAAACAAATACTCCCGATCATACCAGCCCATTACAAATATGGTAATTGAAGTTTGGTCACCTTCCTGCGAATTTTTAAACTACAGGGTTGGGCAGGGAGGTATGGATGATTTGAAATAACAGTTACACACTCATTTTTAAACGAAACTCAAAATTTATTTTTTTAATGTGTACCTTAGATGTTGCCATTATAAAAATTAAAGAGGAAAAAATTAAAGCATTGATTACGTACGAAAAATAACATCTGTTAAATGCTGTCCGGTTTTGTCCATACACTCCTGTAGACGTTGTGAGAAGTTGTCCATACTCCTCTGAAGCATTGCACGTGGTACCGCCATACATCGAGAGCAGCTATGGAATTTCTGAGGCAGACCTTCCCTGGGCGCCTCATTTCGTTGCGTGGAGATGTGGAGTGGCCTCCTCGGTCACCAGACCTGTCACTTTGTCACTATTTTTTATGGGGCTACCTAATAGAACGTGTATACATACACAAACCACATACACTTGAAGTCAGAGGAGTATGGACAACTTCTCACAACGTCTACAGGAGTGTATGGACAAAACCGGAAAGCATTTAACAGATTTTATTTTTCGTACGTAATCAATGTTTTAATTTTTTCCTCTTTAATTTTTATAATGGCAACATCTAAGGTACACATTAAAAAAATAAATTTTGAGTTTCGTTTAAAAATGAGTGTGTAACTGTTATTTCAAATCATCCATACCTCCCTGCCCAACCCTGTATAAAATTCCTGTGAAAATTCCATAGCACTCTACCTATACGTACACGAAATCTGCCAGATCCTCAAATGAAAGTCTCTATGGAAAATTCCACTTTAAACTATGTACTAACTAATAACGATAAAACCATCCCTGACATCCTAATAGAATCATATTACTTAATTAAGCTAAAGGGATGCAATTACACACGTTGCAACCTCTAATAATATGAGCAACAAAATTACTACGTATCTACATAACGAAAACATCTCGTACGCGCAATCTAGAGGAAACAATAAATCTACCCCTAAAAATGGTACGTATCATGGTATGCATAAACGCGGGAACATACATGAACAGAACAACATGTTCTGAACATCATTTTATATCGTACTCCGCGTCCCATTTGAAACAGTGATCACTCTTTATCTACCCGCACGGTTAAAAGAGCGACTTAGACTACTCATTCAAACGTATTAAAATGTCAATTTAACACTTGCTATAAAATACAAGGCGTTGATAGTTCTGGAATTTAAAAAAAAATGGTTAAGTGTCTCAAGGACTGTTCAAGCATCCCTAGAGAGGACTCTTCCCAAAAGCCTTTAGCTTAAGGCTGGACAGTACATACAGAACGGAGTATGTAAAGTTGCCTATCGTCAATCCCCAAATTTGGTTATAATATTAATTTGTGTTCGATGGTAGAAACATATAAACCAATTATAATGCACATTTTCTATCTGTATAAAACAAACCGCGCGGGGAAAGCTATATTTTCGCGCTCTCGAGGTAAACTTTTAAGTCGTTTTTCCAAGATAACATTTTAAAAAATCCCGGTGTTATTGTCTAGTTAAATCATTCACCTTTCACCCTTTCACCCCTTCTTCATCTTCACTCAGAATTCAGATACCGTGGAACGAAATCAAGCGTTTTCGAGCAACGAAACGTATGTACTGTCCAGCCTTAAGATTTTCTCATTTGTTTAAGAGCCGATTTGAGTGTTTTAAGAGGATATTTTTAAGAATATTTGGGTTTTAAACGCCTTTAAAATCACTTAAGAACCCTTATAAGTCGAGCTTTATTTGAATGTAATCCTTTTGTGGGTTTTTTATAAGATCGGGAAACCCATCGCCAGAGCCTTCTAAAGGAGAGTCTTGACAAGGCTTTTAGCGTTGAAACGCATTTCTTTAAGAGCTCATGGGATTTTAGAGCCCTCTCTCTAAGAGTATTTAGAGCCTTTAAAGAGATTTGGACCTGTCGATTCTTTAGGTGTGTAACTTTTGCGAATCAAGTAGGTAATGCGCGATATAGGTACAGTGATATTTACATATAGGGATTTCGTGTATAATTTACCTCTACATCTACTTTTAAATGACAAAATCTCTTCTGAAGAGCGCCTAATATTTTATGCATCCAAAATAACTTCAAACAAATAAAGATCTGGCTGTCATATTATAATTAATCTGAGTATTGCTGCTGTGGCTTCACAGAAAATGAATCTCTTACGCTCCTAAACTAGCAACAATATTCAGAATAAGAAGATTCCAATGAGTAAGCCGTTGGGGGCGCTAAAAACGCGGTAGGATTTAAACTGTGTAGTCCAAGATACCCAGATTTTTCAAATCTATCAACTTCATACTGTCACATTTAGCTCAAATTTGGGCATAGTGAAATTGGCAGTGAAGGGAACAGAAACAGACATGGGTTCCCGAATGTCCTGCGACACCTGTCCCACTGCAGTAACAAGCAGCGTGGTAAACTTATCAGACTCAGTAATTCTTCGCGTTGCCGACGGTTTTGTGACGCTTCCATTTATATACTGCGCACTATAATTTTTCTTTAAAGGAGTTCAAAACCCCAAATCCCTAGTACCTGAACCACCGTCGCAAGAAGATCAATCATGGTATGAAAAACTGAAATGCATAGACGACTCCCATTCGCAAAAGACAGGAATAAACATTAAAGACATGGAAACTCTCATTATAAGCCTTGAGGGACGTCTACGACAAGGAATAATAAAAGAATCTTGCTTCAGTGCGTTGGTAAAGCATGACTAGATTATTCTTGATAAAATTTACTAACTCGAAATTGTTCAGCTAAAAAGCTGCTATAGAAATAATCCCAATTGTTCCTTACACTGCATGAAGGAAAGTAAGGAATTCATAGACTGTGTAGATGCGATACGCCTACAGCACATTAAGGAGGTAGTATTGCAAGAACAAGAGAAAGTGAAAGAGAGCAAACAACATAAAAAACGACCGTATAATTAACACTTCCTATACAAACAACAATAAATCACAGTTCACCGCTTTTCCAAATTCTTAAACTTGGCCTCCAACCGTTTCGAGTAAGCATCTAACTTGTAAGCCGCCTGTTCGAGTTTCGCGATACTATCCTCAATTTGGTCAATTTGATCTAAGTAAGGCTGCAGACTCGTATCTAAAAATAAACATGCTTATAATCGCGTAGTAGACCATCTAAAGGTACATTTTTCATTCAGTTCCCCTATGCTTTTAGCAATGTTTGTAGCAATGTGCTTCATGTCGGAGTACTTTGTTATAGTAGCCCTATTCATGTTCTCTAAAAGCTTGTATTCCTCCTGAGTTGCCGTTAATTCACCGTACAAGTAGTCGGCGGTTTTGGTGAACATAGTGGTTGCTAGTTGGCTCAGGTTGGGATCGTGGGGATCGAGCGCTTCGAAGCTCGATGTTGAAGTCGACAGCGTTGGGCCTACAAGTAGATCATTGGAAATCGAAATGTTGATTAATTCTACGACCTTTTTTCGGCGAATCTGTAACACCGTCGGATTCCACCTCTTCTGCCATTATTTGTTTATTTAAAAAGTAGTAAATATAACCTACAAATTGACGTTTAAACGTCAATGTCAAATATCATATGGTGGACTGGGGCGTGGCATACAACAACACGCTGTTGCCACTTAGGCGAGATTGGACCCAATGCTATGGAGAGCTCCCAAATGGTTTCCAGGGTCTTATAAGTGCCTTCCAGACCATGTTTGCACCTTTTCAATTTAGGCACCTCCGAAAAGGGCCTATAAAATGTGACCTAGAAGATAATTTCGGAGAAACACTCCCCTAACTACTTGAAAGAGTACAACAGTTTTCAGAACTTCCAACACATATTCAACATCTTTCCGGATCTAGTTAAGTCTTTTCTCGCTTTCTATGCCTTTTTTAGTGCATGGCTAGCACGAGAAATACTCTAGATAGCGTTTAGAGCACGATTCAGTTTTTTTGACAAACAAAAGCCTTGTAAGAGACCCGAAATAGCATGTAAAGCTCTAGAAGGGGAGGAAGGTACTTATATACCACATGACCCTAATTTATATATAGCGCCGCATTACGATAACTAACTTTAGTTTAGGCCACAACAACCAAGTTAAATCAGTAATCAAACATATTTTCCTAGACACGAATAAAAAATGAGAACTTTTATATTCTGGGTCGTAATTTGGGTTCGATTAAACACAAAGCTAATTATTTACAGACAAAACGCATTTATCTCTAAGGCGGATCTAAGAAAGCGGCAGAGCAGCTCGGTGTGACCCTACGAGGTCATTGGATTTGACTGATTTTCAATAGGTTCGTGACATGTGGTTACCGTGTTCACGGAAAGACGGACAGCAACGATGCCTCTATAACACCTCGCTGTGCTATGCTCTGCAGCTTAATAAAACGGTCTCTTGATACTGCCAGTTTCCCATCCATTCGGAAACTCCCGGTACATCTCCGAGAGGACGGCAACTCGCAATACTCCCAGGCGCCACCACAAATATGTGATCAAATTTCGGTTCGGCATCGCTGCAGTCCATACCTTGCTGTGTCTCCCGTACCAGCCTATGCAAAGTTTATTATAAATGAAATGTTATGTCACATCATATGCGACCACTCAAATTTAAAAACAGGATGTGGTATGTGATTATTTTATAGAAAATGATCGATTAAACCTAAACGTCATCAACCAAAGAAAATGTTCCTGCACACATTAAAATATGGCATAGCATGTGCCAGAATTTTACCTTCTAGAGTAGTGTATAATCGGCCCGTGCTCATTCTCCAATGCCAAAATAGTCGGTACTACGAATCCAGCAGAAATTACAAAAACTTCGGTCACAAAGAAGAAAAGGTGCCAAAGTTTTCGAAGTACTATCACTCTGCATTAGTGATTTTGTTTATACTGCCTTGTATAAACTACAAATGGTAAGTAGACGCTGAGAAATGCAAATGTCATGGTCCAAACGATTTAGGATAGGTTCGATAATCTTTCCTCCAGTAAAGGCACATGATGACTCCGTATCTAGTCGAGAAGATTTGGAGGATCGTATGGAGGAGCAGCAAAGACCGAAAAAGCACCGTAAGGAAAAGGTCGGATTTCGTGACCGCAAAGTAAGTAGCCAAGTTTGCTATTAGCAAAATTACAAAATGAACTGCTGGAAAGATTATAGAATACGAGAATCGTATGAGAGCTTATTCCACACCAGATAAAATTTTCCGTTACTTTGCCACAGTAAAACTCACTCACTTACAAGGAACAGACATTTATATGACACCCGACGATTTTCTAAGAGCAATTACACCCGGATTGAAACAACCCGACGGTAAAATTTATTTTAGTTTTGTTTGCTTGATGTACGGTGTGGGATTAAATGTGCTAATTGAGCTGAAAACTCGTCATTTTGGATTATACGAATCTCTCCCTTTTTCATGCTAACGGTTCACTTTACTAATCTTTTGCATGGTGCTACAGATAATTGAATATGAAAATCGCATAAGACATTACTCTACACCCGATAAGGTGTTTCGTTACTTTGCGACGCTACAAGTCCAGGGATCGTCGTCTGATCAGCATGAGATTTACATGACTCCCGACGATTTTCTTAGATCTATGACGCCCGGAATTAAGCAACCTGATGGTTAGTTTATTAAATGGCAGAAATTTAAAGATATGTTAATAAATGTTGTTTCTTTTGTAGATATTTTCTTTTTGCGTATATTTTTGGCGTTATTTATTTTGATGAATTTATATTGAAGAGTTATCCATTATGTGTTTATCAGATCTATTCACACAATGCTGTTTTGTTGATTTGTAGACTTCCCAATTATAAATCCAGTGATGCAAGAGATACAAACATCACGTGATTTCCCACATAAATTTTATTACTGTATGTAATTAGCATTACATTTCTCATTCTCTGGTGTTTCGAAATTGTGATCATATGCAGTCTGAAAGTGTCGACCTATATTTTTTCGTACCTATCCACTTGATTCTATGATTATCTGTATCTAGGCGAAGCAAGTTTTGCTCTTGGACTTTAAACTTTAAAAATTTGAGATTGATGATCATATCGTATGATTTTCTCACTAGGCAACAACAAATTGTGATTAAAAGCAGCTTGTTAGAAATTGATTGCAATCACAAATTGGTGACCATTATTGTCTATGACTATTGTCCAAGTTAAAGCAATTGGAGTTTAGGTGGATATTATAAAAGTCTGATTTTCATACTATATTGCTCATCCTGAGATCTTGTCTCATTTAATCTCAGAAAGTCTACTGTTGATTTTTTAGACAGATAAGTAAAAATCACCATTACTCCCAATGAACCTTAGGGTATAATGATTAGTTGAAACTCCATAATTCTCCAATCTTAATAAATTATGCGAGTCATTAATTTTTGGAGCTTTTAATTGTTTTGTTAATTTTCATTTGTATTTTTTGCGCATTGCTTTTTTTGAATGCTGTTTTTTGTGTGGGATTAAGGAGAAAGTTTTTGGCGATATGTTCTGTGTAATTAAATGAGATACATGGATAGATGCATTCCTGTAAAAAGTTACTTAGGACGCGGACTGTCTGACCGAGATATTTTATCATACAAACGGTATACTATAAGATATATTTTGACAAAATTTCCGATTACTCTCAAGCAAAAATTACGATTAGAAATGGCAGAGTGTGTGTTTAATCCAGAGATTATGTAGGCAGTTTTCCCCTTTGCAGCAAAAGTGTACAGTATACAGGGTGTCTCAGATCACGTGGGTATTATTTATAATGTTACAATGAATTAGCCACTGCAATTAAGATTGAAAATAGTGTTCCACAAGGTTCAATCCTGGGTCCACTGTTTTTTATATTATATCCTGCGAATTTTAACGTTTTAAGAAATCTTCAGGGGCTTTTTATGCGGATAATTCTCAGCTTAATTTTAGCTGTGAATAAGAATGAATGTAAGCAAACAAATTATTGTATAAATGCTGATATCAATAGCCATGGATAATTCTCTCAATGTTAATCCTAATAAATGAACTTGTATTTTATTTTGTTCCGATATAATATAGACTTTATTAGTAAACATATTAAGATCCTTGTAAATAATGTAAATATTTTTATAGGCACGGAAGTAAACAGCCTAGGTATAATTATGGACAACAAATTGAAATTCGACTTCCATGTTGGTAATACAATAAAAGCAAAGAGTAGGTACCCATAGTAAGAGAAACGGTATGGTACAAGGGCGTGTAAGCTCTAAGAACTCGCACCGCTAGGATTCCAAAAGCGGGCCCTCGCGTAGAGGTAGCCAGAACTAACCACCTCTTTAAATATTCCCCCGTAATGAAAATTTACAGAATTGTTTATAGAATACCGGTTTAAAATATTTGCGCGATTGTTATATTTAATTTAATAATAATAATAATAGCCATTTATTGAGTTGATACAGATTGGTTAAAAATTTTCTTTCTTATTGGCTGATGGTTGTTAATTAGATTGGTATTTTCCTGTTTAGTTTGTATCTAGTAATTAGTAATTACAGGTACAATTATAAATTACAATTGTTATACATTATATCCTCGATTATATCATTGTATATAAGGTGTATGTGTTACTGTAAAACTCAGAAAACTAGTAAATCCTAGAATTAACGTGTTATAAACCTAGGATTTACCAATTTCATCCGGTAAAACAATGAAAAAATGTATAATTTCGGAGTTCTGGCACCTCATGACAGTTAATCTTAGGATTATCTAGTTTGTGTTGGCAAATCTCACACTTGCAGATGTGTTTGATTATACTAATAACAGCTAATTCATTAGTGTACACGAGTTCCTGGTAAACGGTGTGTTTCATAACAATTTATTATTATTATTATAAATATACTGTAGCGAATATTCTAAAGCGATGTCGGGGCGCCATCATGGCGATAAGGAATAAAGGCGGATGTGACGCAATCTTTCCGGGAAATATGTATTTATTCAGAATCCGCACTATTCTAGAAGGTTCTAAATTATGATGAAATAAAACAAAGTTTTGAAAGAAGTCAAAACATTCTCGCCATATAATGCTAAAACCCCCCCTGGTCGCGGTGAGAACGTTTCTTTATTAACAAAAAGTCTGGCGCCATAAAATGCGATCGTACTGTCATGCCCACAGCATTTTCTAGTCGCTGTCCATGTAGTCCGACTTAGGAGCTGATCGATAACACTTTAATGACTGATTGGTCTATAACGTTCTTCGTATGTCTAACGACAGAAGTTCTGGCGTACATTCCGCCAACGCACGATCCCACATTTGGATCAAATCAAATTATAAAAAGGTTACATGCACAATTTACCTGTGCCCAATTCAGTTCGATGGTGTTAAACTGGCAGTGCTAAGGCGGCAAGTATCAAACTTTGTGGCTGTGCTCGTGCAAGTACTTATCCACCTTGTACTGTTTGGGCGATGTTATGGTCATTGACTCTCTGTTGAAAGTACGGCTTGGTCGAACCATTTGTTGGATGCTGATCGACGGCAACGTTGTGGTAATTCGTGTGGCCCATCACAATCAACTACGGCTCCTCCGAATTCGGAACAAACTTCTATTGAACCCACTGAAAGAACAAGTCACAGTTCATGTCACCGTGGTAATCCGCGTGTTTGGACTTGGTACCAAAGATCAGTGGACAATTACGCGCTCTAAACAAAGTCGCCTTCGTAGCCCGTATTCACGATCACGTACTCGCACTAACATCTCGCTTCCTCACACTCTTTGGCGTTTCATCATGCCACGAAGTGAAGCGTTTGGCAAACACCAACGTTTTGTCTATAAACACGAACTGCCGTTTTATGGGAGATAAACCGCCTTGCTTCAGCGCACTGTGCGGACTGAAGTTCCCAACCGAGCCGCCACTCGCCTGAAATCGGATAGTGAGGTAATGTGGTACTAGCCTATAAGTGTAGAAAATAGCATATTTACCTCTTGAATGTGCCTAACTCAGCGGCCGAAGAGGATCTCCATTGACGTGCTCGGCACAAAAAAAAAGCAGCCAGATTCAAGACAAACTGTCTATTGCTCTCGCCTAATCGTCTGCAGGGCATTGTTAAAGTTTATTCCTCTACAAAGCAAATGCTGAAACATTTCACGACATAATTCACTGCTACACTTACCAATTGGCACAATATGAAACAAAAGACAAACTATGGATTGTTTTTTAGCTCACAAACTCATAAGCTCTGATACACGATTTTTTGTATCAATTTCTTTCTTTTTAAAGGTTTCTATAATTTAAAATTTGCCGAGAATTACAGAATTTTTCAGTAAAAACTCACGACATTTTTACAGAGAACCCTTTCTCGAGTCTATGGAGAATGTTGTGTAAGCAAATCAAAACAACCATTTTTTCTCAGCCACCATAAGCATAACACATATAAAAAACGATTTTACGGAGGTATCTCAACAAATTTCGCACTAGATCAATTTTCCGTCAGTGCGAGGTTTCTTAGGCACAAATAATAAGTTTCGGAATACGAGCCATTTTCTATGGGTGTAAATTAACTTTCATTGCATCTTTTGGGAGGCAATTTACCACATACGTGAAATGTGTTAGCAAACGTAATGGATAACTCTGAAATAAAAAATTCACAGTACCAATTTGCTTTCTTTCTATTAGAATGAGGTACTATTTGCAGCTGTCCAGACTGGCTTGGAATCATTGATTATGTAAAATCAGGCCAAATAGCAATGGTTCCGAAGTTTTCATGTAAATGTGCGGTGGGTTATACTAACTTTATTAACAGAACGTCGTAATTAAGGCAATTGGAACGTTTTGCAATTTGGCACTTCATCATTCACATGTGCATCTTTCAACTTGCTTGTTTGCTTCTAGCTTTGTGTACATTTTGATTATACATTTACACTGTTATTCAAAAGTCTACAGTATTGTTATAGAATACAGATTTTGGAGGACTTTTGAATGACCGATTATTACCTAAGCGGTTAACTAATAGATTATCTTGCAGGGTTGGGATTAGACCAGTATAAAAGATACGATCCAAAGGTGAGTAACAAAGTGTTTATTTTAATGTAACTTGAGGTTGACCCTATTTATGTCGCACAATATTTAGTTTGTGTTGAACTATCTGTATTACTTTAAATAAAGTAATTAAACTATAACACACTGCAAGTATCTGTAACACTTACTTACTCTATTTAACTTGTTTGTAACTGTGCCTATCAATGTTCATACTTAAATACCTCTATTTTTCAGCATAAGCTCGAGGTAATACTTTTCTCTTTTCGCACATCGCTTATTTGTTTGTAATGTTTTGCTTTCTATGTATATATTGGCATGGTCGCTTTTGTCTCATAATTTAAAATATATATTCATACTACACAACACTGTTTGGTCAAGGTGCCACAATACTCAGGTCCTCAAAATATGAGTTATGGAATAAAAATTATTACTATTATCAGAAAGTCGACAAATGGATACCACCCAGTTGGATTTTTTTAGTAGAAAATTTCATCAAAATTGCGTATTGTGCAGCTTACTTTTTCTATTATTGCTTATTTGAGTACAGTAACAACTTCCGCATGCCAATTGTAAACCAGTAGCTTATTAACCGCGCTTGTTTATTTTTAAATAGAACATACAACAAAAACTAGAGTTAACACTTGACGAAGACAGCATATTTTACAAGTTAGGATCCTCTGGCTTGATCACATTCTCCGATTATATTTTTCTCCTAACAGTACTATCAAGTGAGTATACTAGAACGGTTTTATAATTATACAGTTGCGTTCGCTTTAAGCGTCCAGAAGACATTTCGAGATCGCATTTCGTATGTTCGACCTTAACGGCGATGGTGATGTCGATTGTGAGGAATTTGAGAAAGTAGCTACGCTAATTCGTCAACAAACTAGCATCGGGTCGCGTCATCGTGACCATGCGAACACTGGCAACACATTCAAGGTGCCCCTTCTTATTGTAACAAATGGGGAATACACAGATTGTTACAGGGAGTGAACTCGGCATTAACAACCTACTTCTTTGGTCCGAATATGAAACAAAAGCTAACGATCGAGAAATTTCTCGACTTTCAGAAACAGCTACAGCGCGAAATTCTAAGCCTCGAATTCCAACGTAAGCATCCGGACGACGACGGTAAAATTAGCGAGGCCGATTTCACAGATTTGCTGCTCGCGTACAGCGGATTTCCCGAGAAAAAGAAAGCGCGTATGCTTAAAAGGGTTAAGAAGAGGTAAGTGGAAGGCGCCTGTGAATTGTCATAATTGCGTTTGTAGTTTTAGAGATCACGGTCAAGGCATAACTAGGGAAGATTACTTAAATTTTTATCATTTCTTAAACAATATCAACGATGTTGATACTGCACTCACTTTTTATCACATCGCCGGAGCATCGATTGATGAAATTACTTTGAAACATGTTGCCAAAACCGTTGCGCATGTTGATCTCAGCGACCATATCATCCATGTGGTTTTCACAATTTTTGATGAGAACCGTAGGTTTATTTTCTCCTTTGGACTATTTATAAAGTTTTTCATTTCAGAGGATGGTCAATTAAGTAATCGTGAGTTTATAGCGGTCATGAAAAATAGGTTGTTGAGAGGATTAGAGAAACCAAAGGATACAGGTTTTGTCAAATTTATGCAGTCAGTTATCAAATGCGCTAAAGACTCAACGCCTTCGTTTTTTGATATGTGAATTTGTACAGCACGCTTTAGTTGAATTTGTTTATATATTGTTTGTAGTATTATTTTCAGTTTTTAAAATTATTTCTATAAGGCTTCTTTCCATGTCTAGTAAATTAAATCTTATAGCGTTTGATGTTCAATTTGGTATGTAATAAATTAATAAATTTTTTTTGTGAACTTTTATTACCAACATTAATATCATGAATCTTTTTTATTGATTTATTGCTCCATGTGAATTATTTGGATATATTTAATGTAGCTTTCTTTAAGTTATCGATTTCGAAGCTCACTTCATCATCAGACCTTGCTAAAATATATAAACGACTAGTGAGCCGATAACCTAATGAAAATAAAAACATTCAATTATTTGCTTCCCTCTACTTACCTGCTACATTAAATCATGAATCTTCTGTGGACACCGGTACAGATATAAAATAATTTTAAGTCCTGATTTAATTAAAACTGCTATACCTGCATTACGTTTTTGAAATACATCCAAGTCTCGACACAGATGTGAATAAATTACCCAATTATTGAGTGTTTTACTTTAAAATCCTTATTTTCAAAATTGGGCATACAAAACAGTTTTAACTAATTCAGATATTTACCAAATTTTTAAAAAATCCATATTGCCAAATCATAAATTTCAAGAACTTTTTTGTTTTTTGATCAATAGACGAACTTTTTCTTATTACAGGTAACTTTTGATTCTCCATAAAAAAAGGCTCTTGAGTTTTTTTGATATAATGTATACTTTACGAAATATTTAATAAATTCGAAAAAAAAACAAGATGGCGGCCATTTTTTTCCAAGTTCCACCAATGGGACAAAGTGCGATTTTTGAGGGGTTAATAAGGACCCTATGGGGTACTCATTTTTTCTACCTTAACTATTTTGACTAGCCTATATGCACAACATAAAGAAGAAAACTATTAGAATCACTCCAGTGACAGCAGGGCTGTCTGGCAGGCACTTAAAGTCAGTTAAAATTACTTCTAGATTGGTTTGCGAATGTCGCCATGCACTAGAGCAAGTGGCAAGCCCTTGGGCTCGCATGGGTCAAAAGGGATGCTGGATCGAAAGACAATGAGAAAGCTGATGAGCGGCCTCAAAACAGGTGTTTTACGGTCCAGAGGCGGCTCTTCCACTTACAGTTGCAACTGTAAACAACTTAACTCAAGACACTCATGCCCAGCACAGGTCTAGGTAGTAGACCCTTTCCCCAAGTTCAGGTTTTTTAAATGTTTTTTTTTGTTATATACATATTTAAAGGGAGTAAAAGCGTATTATTATTATTAATACAGACGTGTGAAATTTCAAATTCTCTAACTAAAACAGTGATGTAATTGGATTTTGTTCTAAGTACGCTAAACTGGTTAACTTCATTTATACAATAAAACACGGCCAATTCTTTGTCTGGTGTAATGTCCATTAACAATTAACGGGGGCGAACGGGGAGGTCATAAACCTCTGCTGATTAAATTTAGTCGTACATCTTACATCACTTCCACTTTGAATTGACGGGCGACCTGTTGTTTTAGTCCTACAAATTTTCTCAAAACATTCGATGATGTGGTGCTTATGACCAACGAAGGTTTTATAAGTGAAGTGGTGGTCAGGATATTCTTCTTTAAATTGCTGTAAGCAGGATCTAGTGGAATATGATCGTGTACAATCTTCTAAACGTGTTGCGCTACGACAATGCGCCATCAATATGAACCCATCATGTTCATGCCATTCTCGATTCTAACTAAAAACTGGGGTTATATAATCCTTAATAGTGTTTTCTTTTACTACATACCTTTGCACTTGCGGGAGCTCTCAAAAGAACTATTTATTTTAAAATGCAAGGTTTGTGGTGAAGAGACAAGGAAATAAAAACACACGTTAAAAAAACGACCCCAATGGATTGTTGTTACTGTGATTTGTGTATGGGGGGGAAAACGATGACCACCAAGCCTTAATTTAAAAAAATAAAAAAAATTTTAAGCGCCAAATTCAAACCGTCAGCAGTCATTTTGAATCACCTGGAACATTTTATTAATAATCTTATAAGTCAAATATTCACGTTTATTGAAAAAACATTTGAATAAAATGAAGTAGGTTGCATATCTTAAGGGGTATTTTTTTAGAATTAAACAGATTTGTATGTTCACAGATAAAATGTATGTATGTACACATACTATTCACAGCGCTCCTAACGCATATCAGAGCGACCTTGCCCAACTGAGTCCTTTGTCCACAAAGGAAGTCAATTTTCATGACTGTCAACATTTATGTTTTAAATTGAACAGTGGCCCCACAGAGAAAATGGGAGGAAGGATGAGGCAACAAAGGTGTATTGATAAACAAAAATACCAAGCAACAATTTATGTCACTCATAACAAGTTTTGTAATAAATAAATAACATTATTGTTTAATAAAATACTTCCTCGAACATTAATTACTTGAGTATTATGCACCAACAACCCATGAATTCAGTTTGCAACATCTTGTAATACCTACTCCAACGAATGACCTGCTACATATAAATACAACAAAAAATGAATTAAGTCTTAATTGCATTGCTACTTTTCTGCTACATGATGATTAAGATTGCGGTCATTCGCAATATATCGATTTTTTATACATAATGTACATAATTACAATATTATTAAGTCTAATCAGTGCATTTTACTCTTAAGCATTCTTTTACTCAAACATTTTGTGGTTTCAATAAATCTAAAAATAAATACCGAAAAATGTGCATAATTTGATTTATGTTGATGTGATAAAATTGATTTACTGTAGTCGCATCGCATCTTCTAACAGGCTGCTTAACTCCTTAAGATGCTGAGCCCGACTACCTGTGGCGGTACTCGCGCTTACGGGTCGACCGGCATAACTACAACATTGCCATTTTTTATTATGTGAAAAGATCAGCTCAATAAATTATTGCCAATAGCCCCACATGCACATGCAAACAATACAAAATGTTAGGCAAGCATAAATATATTCAAGATGTATAAATAAAAATGGGGACGACAGTCGTGACTTACAAAAAAATCAAAAAATAAAAAATTAACAATAACACTACTTCCTTTGAACTCGTCTTGGTTCTGAATAACCTTGCAGAAAGTCATTTGCCAATTTGTCAAGTTCTTTGTAATTCGTAAATTTACTGCCTGTAGCCGTGGACGCGCTTACAGCGCGACCTATGTATCTAAAAATTAATAACAAAAGTTAACAAAGGCACACAAAAGTGTATTGGCAATTTCTGTGACATCTGAAAATGAAAACCCAAGACAAGTCGTGCATCCGAGCATAAAGCAAAAAAATGTTAATCATGCCACAACCAATCACTTGCCAAGCGAGAGAAACTGAAGATATGATAATCCGCATCTCACCTTACAACTCTAGGTTCAACCTGTATTGGTGGTTGTTCGAGTTTTGGTTCGGATTTACCAAAGAGGCGGCTCAACCAACCACCGCTTTTCTTCTCGGTACTGTAACATTTATTACACCATTCAGACTGTGTATTGCATGAGCTAAAATGATTTAACACAGGTCGGTCTGGAAAGTATGGGTACATTTCTGTGTTGCAATTTTGCTTTACACCGTCATCGTCAAATACTCTAATTTGGACCTAACTCAATAATTCTTGAGAAATTAAGTCAGATGTCACTACAAGTACTAAACAGGTCAAACTGTGACCAAAATTTCCAGAGAGACCGCAAATGTCAATCATTGGTACATTAATCATATCTTCAGTGTCCCACTATTACTTTATGAACCCCCCTTATTCAAACAAATTTCAGTGAACCCATGCAACACTTACAAAACATCACGGGTACCACCGAGAGCAGTATCAAACCTCGGGCACACATAAGACCAGGCGCCCGAGTTCTTGTGTTCTTCCTGTGCCCAACAGATTTCAGCTTTCGGATACTTGGCGCACTCTTTCTTCACCAAATCGAACGGGAATGGACAAATCTGCAAGCACCATTCGAATCGGAACTTAGACCATTAACAACCTACCTGTTCCATGGTGGTCAGAACAATTTCGGACTCGAGCTTCTTCTCAGTTCTGATCTTTTTAAGATCGTAATAAACCTTTCCGCTGCAAAATACAATTTTCTTCACACCCTCGGGGTTTTTGGAAGCGGGTCCGGAATCCGGAATAATCCGTAAGAATTGGGTACCCGTTTTCATGTCATCAAAACTGCTCTTGGCTTCTGGATGGCGCAGTAAACTTTTAGGGGTCATAAGCACCAAGGGTTTGCGGAAGGGTAGCGCTATCTGTCTTCGAAGAATGTGAAAGTAGTTGGCAGGATTCGAACAATTTGCCACGATCCAATTGATGTCGTGAAGTTGTCTCACTGCAAATTCTTCGCTTTCGGGTGGGAAATAATCGGGATCGTCGGAGCTGAGCTGTAAGAAGCGCTCTAAACGGGCGCTTGAATGTTCTGGGCCCATTCCTAAAATGGACTGATTTGTAACTCTGCATAAATTACCCTTTTTAATTGACCGCAGTGTCTCTCAAAGATAAATATTGACCATGTTCTTCCAGGCCTAATTTAATGCATTAAAAACTTCCTATAAAATTTGAGCCCAGGAGAAATTGGCCAAAATTTAGAAACTCTGGTCTGTTTTCCTATTTTGTCAAATTAGTACCTTCTAAAGCATGTGGTAAGAGCATTATAAGTCCAGTCTGTCGTACCCACTTGGCTTGTCCTGAACATATAAACTGATCAATTATACATTGGGCTGTGTTGTTGAAGTCGCCGAATTGGGCTTCCCATAATACTAGAGCGTTGGGGTTCGTCATTGAGTAACCTAACTCGAATCCCAGCACTCCAAATTCAGACAAAGAGCTATTGCACACAGAATAAGGCGCTTGGTCTGGATACAGATTGGATAGTGCATTGTAAGTAGCTTTATCAACAGTCTGATGGTGTAAAACGTGATGGCGGTGAGAGAACGTTCCTCGTTCGACGTCCTGTCCTGAAAGACGCACGTGAATTCCCTCTTTGAGTAATGAACCGAAAGCCATGGCTTCTCCTAATGCCCAATCCACAGTCCTTGCGTTTACCATGTCCATTCGCGCTTTGAGAATACGCTCTATACCTAAATAAAAAGAACATAATTAGCTCAATGGGAAAATTGCTATGAAGAAGTAGAGGTGCCACTATAGATTTTTTGTTACTCAAATTTTAATATTCAAATTCAGAATCTAAACTCCAAATTAATTCATACTTAACCGCCTTCCTACGGTCTGTCTATACATTTTTTAGTATTCCTGGTCTAGGTTTGGAAAAGGTATCTCAAAAGATCTAAATAGTCTAATTAGTTCATAAAGATGTAGAATGGCTGGAAAGCACATTTAATAAAAAAAAAAAAGGCAGCAAAAAGGCTTTCTAGGATCTTAGAAGGGTCGAAAGGGACCCTAGACCACTAGAAAGTTAGAGCATTGTAGCCTCATCCTTAAGTCTTTTAAAATTTAGATCATTTTTAGAGTTAGTTAGGTCTCTATCAGAACTTTACAACCCCTCTCTAAAGTGAAGTGAATGTAGGTTCCGCTTTGATAAAAAAAGAAAACATTAATACACAATACACAATTTCTCGCCCATGTTAACTGATGAAATAAGAAAATCTGCCCAGGATTCTGTCGTCCCTCTGTTGTGGGGGAAAGTGAACCACAAATTTAAAACGAGTTACCGACTGCAGATTTCTTTACTTCTTTAAAATTCCAACGTTGCCAGATTTTTGGCAAGCGCTTTGAGTTTGAATAAACTAGATTAAAATATTGAATAAGCTTTTATTCAATGCCAATAACAATATTATGTAAGGGAGCATCAATCTGAAATGTAAGATCATAAGGAACAATAAATAAAGTAAAAAATGTAGTTTAATCTAATAAGAAAACAACAAGAACTGTTCTAAGGACCATTATCTTTACATAATAAACAATCAAACTTTACCTAGCTCCATATAAGGATCTGGTAAATATGACAACACTGTTGAACTCTGATAAACAAGGAAAACAAAGGACCCCTAAGTGTAACTGGTTTCCCTGTTTAAAATAGTCATTATTTACCCCCCCCCCCCCGAGGCCAAATATCCTTCAATATTTGTGGTAATTAAACACTTTGCAGTGTATGCAACACACCTATGTTTCCTATGTAGTTATACTTCTTTAAAGTGCTTATTCAATGACTTAAGTCTGAATTTAAGGTTTTAACTCAGAACCTGCCGTAATTCAGATTGAACCCGAATTAGAACTTTAAAGTCCAAGTACAAAATATCTGTATGTGGCCTTTTGTAGATTAAAACCCCTACCTTTGTGGATAACAAATTCGGCCGCATTCGGCGGGGGCGACGAAAATCGAGCACCAATGTGCTTCAATGTTTCTTCATTCACACCAGTAAGCGAGACCTTTAGCGGGTCTTTTCCCTCGAAGAATCCCGACCACGGACTATCGATCCAATCTTTGTACTTGATATGCGTCTCTTTACGGGCCTGCTCGAACGCGTCCTCGCAGATTTTCTCGTATTTATCGCGCACATCTTTCACCTACATCAAATCTATTACTTTTATATGCAATTAAGAAAGCCAAAATGACCTCTTCGGGAGTAACGACGCCCTCCGCGATTAATTGCTCGCTGTACTTCTGCAGACACGATTTCATGCTTCTAATTTTCGTATACATCAGCGGTTGAGTGAACATCGGTTCGTCCATTTCGTTATGGCCGTTACGTCTATAGCAGACGATATCGATTACGACATCCTTATGGAAAGTAGCGCGCCAATCGGCGGCAACGTTGCACACATGCATAACACTTTCGGGATCATCAGAATTCACGTGGAAAATCGGCGCATTCACCACTTTGGCAACGTCTAAAAGACGATTAATAGAATCCGTAGCCAAAATATATTGAGGGAGATATTACCTGTACAATACGGCGATGATCTTGAAAATCTAGGATCGGTTGTAAAGCCAATTTGATTATTAACGACTATGTGAACAGTACCATGTGTTGTGTAAGCGGGCAAGTCTGACAAGTGCATTGTTTCGTATACGACTCCTTGACCGGCAAATGCAGCATCGCCGTGCAATAGCATAGACATAACCTTTATAAAGAACAGTATTTTGTTAAATATAAACAAAAATAAAGCAATGACTTACCTTTTTGCCCTCACTATCGCCGCGATAGAATTGTTCAGCACGCGTCTTCCCTTGTACAACAGGATCGACACACTCTAAATGAGATGGATTGGCTGCAATAGCAAGCCGAACGTTTTTATTTGTAACACGATTCAGTCTACAACAGGCTTAGGTAAATACCGAACGCAAAAATACGTCTTTACCTTTCAATGTAAGTACCAAGATGATATTTCACATCGCCCGAGCCGTCATCCTCAGCCTCTAAACCGGCGAATTGAGTAAATATGGAACTAAGAGGCTTTCGACAGACGTTCGCGAGTACGTTAAGGCGACCGCGATGCGGCATGCCCATGACTATGCTTTCCACGCCTAACTCCGTGCTTCGATCGATGACTTGCTTCATTGCGGGAATTAAAATTTCGCAACCCTCAAGACCAAATCGCTTCTCTGAAGACCATTTCTTTGCCAAGAACGCTTCAAAGCTGTGAATGAATAATGAGACTGGGCTTAAAAAGACGCGTCACTAACCCGTGCGCACGCGTCAATCTCGCCAGGATTAGTCGTTTCGAGTCTGTGCTCATGTCTAAACAACCGGGAGTCTCCATGCGTTTCCTAATCCAATTCGTTTGTTCTAAACTATTTAAAAACATAAACTCCACCCCAATGTGGCGGCAGTAAGCGTATTCAAGTCTTCGGAGTATTTCGCGAAGCGGTAACGTCTTCGCTTTTCCACCAATGTAAGTAGTGGAAGGTAGTTTAAAATGTCTTTCCATATCGCGTTCGGCTAAATTTCGTTTAAAAAAATTAATGTAAAGCCAAGGTAAAATAAACAATTTGTGAAATAGCAAAACACGAATTGGTACAGTTAGAAACATAATCGTTGTGCAAAATTGTTTAAAAAAGCAAGAAAAACTGACAAAACATACTAGCGTAGTAAATCAAGAATGTATAAATAAAGCAATCTTACTTTGTGCAAATTCCTGAACCTGTTGCCTTAGTTGTTCGGAGTAAGTTCTGCTTGGGTGATCTAATTAAAATACAACAAAAAAAAATGCGTGCCACAAAAGTTGCAGAGAGATTATTAGCGGTATTAACTACACTTAAAGAAAAAATGCTGCAACTCGTTACAATATAGCCCATGCAATTATAGGTTTTCAAATTAACTAGCGTATAAAATTTTAGTGTCTCTCAAGTTCCTGGTCACAATAAGGGCTGAGGTACAGTATTGTGTTAACTTTACTGAACAATTGCAAGTTTTTGACTTTAAATAGACAGACACACATGGACATAATTTGCAATGATGTTATGAGAATTTTTAACTTCACTTGAGACACACTGTATAAATTAAAATTAAAAAGTTAGTTATAAAATAAAGTTAGATTTTGGCGGGCAAGCAACAGCACACCGCCCCAATCCTTTTGTATAAAAGGGGTTAATTTGTCACACACTTTAACTTTAGGTGTAGCTATCATACTAAAAAACCGTCCATACTATTACGATACAAAGGTCTGAACTATTTGCAGATGCATTTTAATATATTAGTCACTAAAATGAGGAGATTGGGTTAAAGTTTTGCTAACACAACTGACCGAGTTTTAATTAACGACACTCGCTTACCTTCTGTGAAATCGTTTGGTGTTGCTGCGTCGTGGTAAAACACAAACTTGCCAATTGCAATTTAGAAAAGTAAACAAATTTCATCACTAAATGTTAATCCTAAAAATGAAAAAAAAACAGTAACCCCAATAAACTTATTTGGCAGGATCAGGCGAATAAGTTTAACGGGATGGTGACAGTTAAAAATGAGTGCCTGAAAAATGTTTAATCACTGTCTGCACCTTTACGCCCTCTGAACACGGGTAGAGAATTTAAAACAGTGATCTATCAAAAAATACCACAGAACACTATTGACCATTACAGAGTACCTACCATTTTCATTTGTACACAGAAAATCATTACATATGTTTATGAATTACAAATATCACACATGCAGACCGCAAAAGTCGCGCAGACCGTATATGGCATCGACAACTGTCGGGAAAACTTGTTGATTGAGATTCCTATTGCTCTTCTAGTATAAAATAAGTCACGTCAATCATCGCAGGTACACAAATTATGCTATTATATTTCTCTAGCTCATGTGAAGGAAAAGACATGTTTTACAGTGGGCGGTATCAGCGACTGTTTTTATAATAGACGACCTACTTAAATTTGTTTGTGATGCGTGTTTGCTATCCAGTGGCGGCGCGTAGTGGTGTCTTGGGGGCGCACAATTTAAAAAAAGGGGGAGAAATGGGGCCACGGGCAAAACGCAGGAGACGAAAATTTTTTGAGTGTCACCGCAAGATTGATATTGATATTTTTTAATTTTTTCGGATAAATGCGATTTTCTAAAGCAACATAATTTTCAAATTTTTATACGGCGAGAGTACCAAAAGAGATCTCCAAATTGCTAACATAAAATAGCAGAAATTTTTTTTAGGTCAATTTTTGCAACTCATGATGAATTGAATTGAGGCCACTTTCTCGGTCCGTCCGAGGCCTAACTACTCCTATAGTTTTCAATATATTTACTTCTTTTTGCATTCGGTAGCTTATAGCTCCGGCACAACCAAAAAAATCTTAAAAAATGCGCATGCGCAGACTGCGCAAAGTCAACTTCTTTATTTATTGAAATATTTTAACCATAGATTTTTCTAGGAATGAAAAACAGCGCATATACCTATGACCTTTTGGTAGCTCATAGACAAGCTGAATTACACCTGCATTACCTTTCAAATTAGAATTTTTTTGCCTAAAGGTGTGTAAAACAAATAGCAGACTAATATAAATTGTGCATTTTTTTATTAATAATTAATCATCAGCCTCAACATACTTTAAGACTCGCCTCTTCTCATGTGGTAAACCTGTTATTGTTTTCGTCTTTTACCTGGCTCAATATTGTCAACAAATTTTTTTTTCATTATTTATACCGTTGTTTCTAAAGACCCTCCTGAACATTTTCTATGCCTAATGAATATCTACTTAAAGCGTGAAAATGATTAAACAATTTTCAGCACTATCATAACCTCCAACATGAAATCTATGTTGATAAAATAAGACAAAACTGAATTCAAAATAACAAAAACAAAGCAATGCAAAACAATGGCAGCCAAAAACCAAGTCAATTGCGAGCACGCTTTTAACATACCCAACTCAGATATCTCAGCTAAAAATAAATAACATTTAATATAAATGTTACAAGATAAATGCAAATGCAAAAACAGTCATCGACTTTGTTCACTATGAGCTTACCAAAATGACTTGCGAGAAGAAGTTCTGTTGGATGTCGGTCGTCTAGATCGGCGCTATTAATTCCTAGTGGATCCAGCTTCGCGATATGGTGCCCTCGAATCTAAAACCCAGCACCCTCTACACCCTTACTCTTCATAATAATTAACAATAAATATTTTTATTCTAACAAAGCAACCGAAAACAAATCAAGCAGAACCGCACCATGCTTAAACAGGCACAAAAAGAAAGTTAAATGAGAAATTTTGCACAAAGTTCGGTTAAAATGTTTCAAACTGTAGCAACCCTCTTTGAGATTCTCACAGTTGTTGAAAGCCAACCTTACATGCGCAAAGAATACTAGAAGATAACTAATGGGGGATACGTGCACGCAACGGTTAGCTATCAACTACTTCATGACATGTTGTAAGAGTGAAAATATAAAGCTTACGGACAAAATGAGAATGCAGACGAAATTAATTGGTACTTGTTATAGTATGACTGATTTAATCTGTTGTAGTTGTATTAGTAACCATATTGCGATAAATTAAATTGCCCACAACCTGGTTTCTTGTTTTCACAATTGAGCATCAACCAAAAGGAAATGACAAACATTTAAACAATGCAACACAATAAAACCAGGCTGATGATGGTGGGCCATTTGATTGTTCAAAATAAAAGTATGTACGAACATTACTTAAAAAAAACAACATGTCATGACTCCCAAACGAGCGCATCCTTTACATCAAGAAATTATGGTCTTTTCCCGTTCATGATGTAGAGCATGCAGAGAACGCTGAAAAATTACCAATGGGTAGTACCTAAATTGTTTTGCCGAATTACTTGATCAGGAGGGGCGCCTTGTACGTCTGTAAAAGTACGGGTATGGTCTTGGTACATAATACCAAGAGGATCCACTTGCGCAACAAGATGACCACGAATCTTGCAAAAATAGGTTAAAGGAATTACATTACTAATAGGTGTATTATTATTATTATTTAAAAAAAATTAAGATGATCAAGCCGTGCTTCTCACTAGCAAAAAGGAAAAGTAGCAAACCATAACCAGCCCCCATGCGTGTAGTGACAGTATATCCCTACCTGATAACTTCGAATGATTGCTTGCACGGCTAAATGATCGTCTATTATTTTTTCGTCAACTATCCCGCCACCGGTCCCGGCGACGCTCGACATCGTGGGACCTCCTGCAAAATACTCCTCATTTCTACGTGGAGCTGCTAGTGTGGGAGGTGCTTGATATCCTACGCCTCCTTGTGCTGAGTTCCGGAAAAATGAGTCCCAGGACTAAAAAAAAAGTAAACTGCTTTAAAATATCGCAAGAGTTCGATTACATGAATGCAGAATCACAGCCAAAATAAACCCGATAAATATATCGGGTATAAACTGCAGGTAAAGTCCTGTTAAATTCAATTTCTCGTTCAGTTTGTGTAAAAGCACCCAACTGCCCACTGCCCAATTATTGTCCATTATGCGATTTAATACACTGAAATTTTTGACATAAGCATGACATGTAATGCCTGTCTGACACTGGCCCACCATGACTTATCGGCACTCACAAAAATAGGTTAAGTTCTCTTTGAAATAGTTAGGATGGTAAAATACTCACATACTTCACACGTAACAAGAATTTCAGCATATTTTTCATTTTGTATTAAGCACCCATTTACTAAACATTTATCAGCTCGTCATAATGATAAGGGTTCAAAGTTTATTAGAACTACAAATTCGTGATTTCTCTTAATTAGATACTGCTAACGCTGCTAATTGTAGGCGAAACTGGTTATTTATTTTTCACCTTGTCTAAAGTATGTAAATTTAGTTAATCCATTATTTCGTTGGGAAAAAGCTAATTTTATCATATAACTTCCTGCTAGGAAATCAACAGACGTAATCGACCAATAAATCCTGAAATTTTGTTTTGAAAGTCATGTGGAAATTTGTTCTTGCAGTTCCACTGAACATGATCTGAATATTAATGGAAACCAAAAACAGAATTGAGAATGTCGTTATCTGGGGAATTATGAAACACCATCTTATGTTCTTGAAGCTTAATTTGATCTTCAAAGGATTCCAAAATCACTTTAGAGTATTCAACACAACACCTTTTATCATGAGTAATTAATTAATTCAGAAAATGAAGATCGAGGTGACAGGCAATGTTGTAATACTCATACTATGTGATTAAAAGTCTGGCGAATCAGTAGATTTCCTACTCCGCTCCCTATTAAACTCTTATTTGGAGTAACTGGAATAAGATTATGTGGAAATGTATTTCCTGGTGCAAATTTAAAAGAACAGTTTTTCCCCAGGAATGTTCAGCTAAGATACCTAATTTAATGCTATCCTTTTTGGCGCATTTGCTCTGAGGCTGTGTGCCAAAAAAATACGTATTAAAACTCGCCCTCGGAATAATAGAATGTATTCAATATCAGAGATTCCTTTCATTTCTGTGCCAATATTCACCCTGATCTGAATATGATTTGACGAAAATGGGCGTTTTCGTAAACTCGTCATGTTCCCTGCACTGTAAACTCAAGGTGAGACGGACTATAGTGGCAAATATTTGAGTATGGACACTGCTGAAGTTCAGTTTGGGAAATTATTTTTCCCGAGGGTTAAAATTCTAGGGGCGAATTTTTTGGAAGGCAAATTTGCTCGGGACGTCTTTTTTAAATGGAGGTAACTATTCTTGTAGCGAGTTCCTTGTTAGCGATCATTTCAGAAGGGGCGAAGTTTCTTCTCTTCTTTGATGAAAATTCTTCTCTTCAGTGATGAAAATTCCAGTGGCGAACTTACAGATGGAGAGCTTGTTTCCTGGGGTGCCCAGAAACGTGCCGCAAATTTGGAAGGGTGTGAAAATGATATTTTGGAAAAGTATCAGAAAAATTAAGAAATATTTCAAAAGTGATGGAAATACAATTAACATATTTTAGAAATGTCTCAAGTTTTGATAAGATTTCAGAAATGCGTAGGTAGTACGGAAATTATCAAAAATGTGTTTCCAAAATTATGCAAGATTATTAAGAAAATATAAATATTTCAGAAATGTGGAAAGATGCAGGAAAGTGTGAAAATGAATGTTTCAAGAATTTTAAAAATGCTTCAGAAAATATTTCAGAAATGCTTCAGATGGAATCGTTTCATAAACATTGGAAATTTGTGCAAAATTATAGAAATGTGTCTGAAATGTTGGATAAATTGTAAAATTTTGGATATACACTGTATTCAAGATAAGAGGGCCACCTCGATTTCTCTTTTATTTGGCGAGATACAAAAAATTTGTCAAATATAATTATATTTCTCGTGTGACAGTATGATCTATCCGATCGCATATTAAAGTTTCCAGTATCATTAGAGACAACTTTTGTTTTTCAGATGCAATGCCCATGTTTTTTTTGGTCCTTTAGCAATAAAACAATACAAAAAATGCATATGGCTTATATACAAAAAAAGGAGAAATTCATGATTCAATATTTAGAAAACTAGCATGCCGTGTGCTGCCCGGTTGTGGGGTCTGTTACGTTATAGAGGGAGATCGTATCGCGCAAAAGCAATCTTCAAAACAAAACATTAAACAAGTTGATGCAGGTCTTCTCTGTGTAAAACGAGAGCCATCGCGCATCCTGACAGCACACGGCAAGCTAGATTTCGTAAGTGTTCTAAATCTTGAATCACGAATTTCTTCATTTTTATATATACTTATCAACCAGATGCCAATTTTTGTATTATCGTACAGCAAATTGATTTCTCTTTTCAAAGATCTTAAAAAAAACATAGGTATTGCATTTGAAGAACAAAAGTTGCATCGATCTCCGGTAGCGCTAAAAATATTCGGAAATGTCAATGTATATTCAGAAACAACGTTATGACCTGAAGTGCAGTAGGGAACAGAACAGAACTCTTCTGACGATCACAGCTCAGCATCCTGAAAGTAACTTAAAATTCAAATTATAATCTGTATCTGATATGTGAACTGTAAAGTTACTCTCTGCAGACCCGTAGCCAGTGAACGTGATCTTGCCCCCACTAGAAATTATAGTTGATGGTTCCTTTGCAAAAATTACAGTGGAAAATTTCTTAAGCCCCCCCCTAGAAAAATGCCGGCCACGTCTGCTTCTTCATTTTGGCTCCGGGCCTGACTCTCTGCATGATTCTAATTCCTTATTTAATTTGCACTTTGCAATTGGTGGACCGCCACCAACATTGCAACTGGCTGCATTCAGTTAGACAGAATAATCCTTAAAACAGTACACAAGATGTGCCAAAATTTAAGCTTAGTAAGTAAACAACAAAAAGTGCCCTTTAAAATAATGTAGCTTTTGCAAATATGCCAATGAAATGAATGTACATTCGGTTTTCATCTGCATTTTTATTTACCCTTATCTTTACGAGTAACCTTAACCTTACTTTTATGTCAAGTGCACACTTTTAAATGTGAGAGCCCTGACACTGAAATATTTATATCCAAATTACCATGATACCTTGCCCTTTCATAATTCATAGTCCTTAAAATTGCCATTTAGTAAGTGACAAGTGGATGTACCCGAAATTTGGCAGGTCCTAGGTGTCAATAGAATAATTATGCTAATTACTTCATTATGATACCTCGTTACTGTAAAGTCGTTACTGTTCAATTAGACCACAGAATTATTAAAATTAGCATTGAATGTGACAGCTTTAAAAATTTGATTGTACCCATCCCAAATTATGCAAAGAAGGTATACTTACAGCATGCACACTACTAGGGTCTTTAAGCCAAGCATTGTACATATCTTCCACGTAAGCTCCCGAAGTTCCATTTAAAAATGGTTCGGCGGACACAGGCACGTTGCGTTGAACACTCGTAACTGAAAGCGCCCGATTGCTTCCTTTCGATATTAACCAGGTAAACTTTTGTCCGTTGGAACCCATAAGGGCCGATATACTTCTGGCACACCACATTTTCGTTTTCTAGAACTGCAAAGAATGAAATTGGCGTTTGCCCGAAACAATCAAACTACAGACTAGATAACTTTACTAAATGAAAATTACTTGAAGCTAACCTAAAAACCTAATTAGAAAGTACTTTAATGATTTATCTTGAATGACAATACTTTCACGTTCGTGCAGCTAAGGACACACCGTTTCTCTTTACGCCAAAAATGCCGCAATTACGAAACAAATACGTCACATCTAATTTTATTTGCCATTTGCGAATTTCGCTACGTTAATCGGGGTTTGAAAAGTTATGAATCATGATGGAAAAATGCGATTAGCGAAACCCCGAACGCGGCAAAATGTGTGTTAAAGTCTACAATGGCAGTAGCAGCCACTCGTAAATCAATACCAGTATTCCTAACGTACATTCCAGTCATTACATAACCAAATGCGTTTTACAATCGTGTTAAACTTTGATAACAAAAAATTGCTCAGAAACGTACGCCAACGATTAATAAAACCGGATAATGAAAAGCTTAAAAATTAATTTAAATCCCCTTTTTTTACCTTTTTTTATCTAAAATCTGACACTTGACTCACACCTCCATATGTACACTACCAACTTAAAATGAATTGTCAAACGGCCATGGTTACCAACGTAATCAATTTTTCAAAATCTTCTCTTGGGTCGCGACTTTTGAAGAGGAAAATACAAAATGATTATCGTTAATCAGCAAGTATTTTTCCAAAAAAAAAGAGGATTATCTCAAAATTTAATTATCGACAATAGTAGAAGTACTGTGCAGTCGAATTAATCAGATTTGATAGCATAACAACTTGAAATGATACACGAAATTCAATTCATTATTCCTTGTATTTTCCATATCAAGCTTCCGCTCATCATAGGTAGGTGGATTTATTCCGCCAATTGAAATATAAAAGGCTTATTTCAAAACGAACCTAAACCACCGCCATAATTTGCATTTAGAACAAATCATATATCGGGCGATCAAAAATGAATGACCGTCGAGTTCGCCTTTGAAAGTTCTAGTTAAATATGATTTTTCAAAATGGCGGTTTTCGAGATGCCCAATGACATCAACTTCCCTATTTTAAATGGGCGCCATATTGGATTTTTACGTCACTCAATAGACAACAAAATGACAAAACCAGCGATACTAAATACTTAATAGTTATTTCATTTGGGAATCAACCTTGCATTTTTACCTCGAAGTTTACAATGTATTTCTTATGGCAATAATTCCATGCATGGGGGGCGCATGGAGCATGTAGGTTCGAATATCTTTTTTTACATAATATTCATACACTTCTCACTTTTTTCGCTGAGCTCTCCATCTGATAATCAGAAACGTTGCCGTAATTCGGACGAACAAAACAAATTTACTGCAGCGGCGTACTTACATCGAGATTTTAATACCCATTTGCTCCAGTCTCTTAAAAGAAAGTGGTTTAGCTAGCTACCACATATGGGATACGTTTTCGAAGGCACTAAGATAATTCAAAACGGCAGAAGTGGGTCTGGGCGAATGAAAGAACCGAGCACTAACAAGCAGCACTCTTTTTAGTGCATTTTTGCAAATTTAGTTAGTCGACTTCGAACGCCCCAAAGTTACCGTCCGCTGCAAATTTTGTCACGTTTCTTAAAGATGGAATCCATGGCCTCTCTTTCTCGTGTCGCCAATACAAGCTCGAGCTATGAGAAAAATGGAGTACAATTTTGTGGAGGGTTTTTAGCGAAATGCACCAAAATGGGAATTGTGGGTGAACGTGACGACGGAAGTGGGTACCGACAAAGGAAATGTGGTAGTTCCCGACAAGATCTTACTTACTGATGGTGGGGTCAACACTTCAAACGCAAATTGCGGGTGAACGAGGCGTCGAAAGTGAATACCGGCAAAGGGAATGCTACTTAATTTGACACAAAGCGGTAGAGTCGCGCATAGAAGTTATGACCTTATTCCTAAAAATAAAGAATGTTTGTGATTCTAAAAAATGCGCTACCTAACAAAAATTGTACTTTACCCCTATTTTTGATCGGGGTATGGGTTAGTTAAGTAATGCTGCAGTACCTACAGTTCTTTCGAAAGCTGGTCTAGCATTGATGGTAGTAACGTTACTTTTCGAAGTGTAAGATCATATGGTGAAGTTCTCGGGAGCAAGTTTTCCTTAAGAGCGGTGATACTACCGGTAAATTTTCCGAGAGCGAATCTTCTAAGAGCACATACCCCGGGGCAGGTTTTCTTGGGGACGAAAATTACGGGAGAGAGTATCCTTGGAGCCAAATCTTGCGCGCGCAAATCTTCCGGGGGGGAATATTCTGGAAGCGAATTTTCCAAGTGATTAGAGGTGCTTTTTGAGATAGGAATTTTCAAAAAAATGTTGACCTGAAAAATGAAAATAAAGAAAAAGCTTAAGTTGGGGACTTTTGGTTAGTTCTCAAGCGGGACATTTTTAATTACTATGCGATCAAAAATGAGTTGCTGTCGAGTCGCCATTGAAATTTTTGTTTAGGTAGGTACATGGAATAGTAGATTACATACCGAGCTGGGAGGTGGTTCATTACCTACGCCGAGGGCTTAAGGTACCTCACCGACGCGCGAAGCGCGGAGGTGAGGTATAAGCGCGAGGCGTTGGTTATGAACCACTGACCAGCGAGGTTTGTATACTATTTTACTCACAATCGATCATTTAAGGTAAAGTATATAATTCAACAAGGTGTTACTTTAACTGTCAATAATAGTGACACCGCCAATGTAACCATTAATGTTTACAACAATAGCAAATAGTTTCGTTCTTCTTCGTAATTTGCTATTGTTGTAAACATTAATGGTTACATTGGCGGTGTCACTATTAGTATAAGTTTCATATAAGGATAATAAATCTGTGATAATATGAATAGCATTTGCAGGTAAGGAAAGTGACAGATGCTAGCCGGGAAAGTGACAGCTAGCCGGGAAAGTGACAGCTAGCCGGGAAAGTTACTTTCCCGGCTAAGGTGAGTAATGAGTCGCTTCGCAACCGCTATGAAGGTTAGGAATTCAGATAATACTAACCGATTGTAAGTAAAATCGTATTTAACTTGAACTTCCAAAGGCGACTCGACAGCAAGTCATTTTTGATCGCCCGTTATTTGGAAAAATGTGTGTTCCCTCCACCGCTCAATCCTTTTTCAGTTTTTTTTTGTTTACGCCGCAAAGAGGGGTGATAAAGAAGCGTGAAGTTTTAAAGGGCACGTGAAGTAGTCATCAAGTAAACGTTAAAAAGGCTTCAAAAAGGCAAAGGCAAAATGTGAATTAGGACAGCGTGTTGCTATGGTTTTATAAATACAGCGGTACGGCACGGGTAGTCGAAAATGGAGATTCTCTCACGCAAGATAGCCCATAAAAGGCAACTCACTTCGAATAATTGGCTTACGAACGGGAACGATCGCCTTCAGGAGATTCGTCTCAGAAAAATTGTCCCAAGAAAAATTATCATTGAAGAAAACTTGATCTATATAGTGTATTTGCCCTTTACAAAAATCGCACTTGCTACGTATACCGACATTTCTTATAAGCCATATTTTCCTGCGGTCTTTTTTCTTGGAAGGCACGAAAGAAATAAATGTCTTGTATTTAACTGTAGTGCATATGGGGAAGTACGTAGTGCATAGGTACTAAAAAGCATATAGAAATAAGAATTAGTCACGTGGTAGTAGCAATAACCACTATCTGCAATGATATAAATGTGACCTTAATTCTGTTATCCTATAGGTCATTGACCAAATCCATATTTTTATCTATCTACTGGGAATACCTACGAGTAAAATTATTTTTACTCCTAGGGGAATACCACTGTCCGATACGCCCTCCTCCACATCAACTAACACGTCAGTCGGTTACATCCGTTGATGGTCTATGGGTTACATACCATCAAGTTTTTTGGTGATATCTTACGTGGCACCAGGTATGTGTGGTTCAGTGTTAGTGGCATTTATACATGGTGCATAGTATTTTTTGTAGAGTAAATTCGCCGTTTTCCCTTGATTGTGTCTCCACTTACTACATTTGTGTTTTTTGAGATCTGAACAGAAGCGTTGGGTGAGACCATGAGCATATACATCAATTTTTGATGATTTCTAAATGTTGTTAGTATGGGTAGGGACCTGGAATAATAATAAAAAAAATACAACTTGGAGGGCCATATCATATAACATCTTTGTATGCAACTTTATCAGTGATGCTGTGCATATTTCGTATTAGAGGAAAATTTATACGTTTTAGCGGGCCGCCTTACGGGCTGCAAAAAATTCGGTCACGGGCCGCATGCGGGCCTTTGTTGGCCAGCCCTGATGTAATTAAGGGTAATTTCTTTCCTCGTTTCTTCATTTTTCGGTAAATATGAAGTGATAACAAGTGTTTTGAGGTATTAAAAGCTAATGTTGATTTTGAGTCACCTTTTGAGACATTAAAGCTGCCACAAGACATGTCTTAACGTCGCCAAAATTATTTTATCATCAGAAAATATTCTCTATACTCGATACATGACCTAGAGGGAATGAAATATGTTGATTTCTATTATATTAGAGCCCACAGTTTTTCCTGTTTCCGATTCACTCGAAGTCTTAACTTTTGTTCCTGTTGAGCCAGCTTCCTGAAAATCTCTATAGCGTCCTACCATAATGTCCAAAGTAACCGTATGCCAAACGTCAACACGATCGGCTACTTTTAAAAAGAGTTATAGCGCACACGGACGGACGGACAACAATTCAAAACTATAAAGGATCTGACCTTAATAAATGCAAGTGGTTAATCAAACACCAAAAAAAGAGTGGATTGTATTAGCTCTGCTTGGACCAGAATTCTTGTTATTTCGAAAAAAGTCGCAATTATTTATAAACCGCCGTGCTTATTCCTTCCCCCCTTTCACCAAAATGATTACTGGTTTTAAACGACTACTTTTTGCAGATCATCCCACGAGAGCAAATAAAAGGAATTTGTCAGTTATCCAAGTCACTTTATACTTCATCCAGAACTAAGGCGTTTAATATCCCACTCTTCTATCTTGATGGTAAGCTGTGATCATAATGTAGTACATGTGTACCATACTTTTCTTTTACACAGCCTGAAGATAATAAATCAAGCTTCAACATGACTAATGCAAGCCAAAGCTTAGTTTGTGCAGTACGCCAAGAAAATGAAAAAGTTATTACGCTGCTCTTGGAAAGTGGGGCTAATGTTAATGTCAAAGATGAGGACAATAAGACTATATTGCGCCTTGCCGTTGAAAGTGGAAATGAGAAAATTGTTAAGCTGCTTATGGAAGACGGGGCCGATGTTAATGCTAAAGATAGCGATTTTAACAGCATATTACACTTTGCTGCGGAAAAAGGAGATCAAAAAATGGCGAAGTTGCTTTTGGAAGGTGGCGCATATGTTGATGATGTATCTGGGGATCATAAAACCGCACTACACTATGCCGTTGAAAAAGGTGACGAAAAAATGGTTAAACTGCTGTTAAAGGGCGGAGCTGATGTTGATGCCGAAAATTTGGAAGACAAAACCGCATTACACATGGCTACAGAAAATGGAAACGCAAGTATGGTTAAGCTACTATTGGAAGGTGGAGCCGATGTTAACATGAGATGCGGGGTGGCCGAAGCAATATTACACCAAGCTGTTAAAAGTGGAAATGAAGAAATTGTTAAGATACTTTTGGAAGCCGGGGCTGACGTTAACGCGCAAGATTTATCTCGAGATTTATATTTTGAAACTGTTATATACTTTGCCGTTAAAACTGGAGATAAAAAGCTTATTAAGCTGCTTCTCGAAGCGGGTGCTAAGTATTATGAGACCGTATTACACTTTCTTGATAAGAAAGATCAGGATATTGAGCTGCTTTTGGAATGCATTGCTAAATATGGTACCCAAGATCAAGAAAATGAAAAGATACTACAATTTGGTGCTAAAAACGGACTAGAAAAACTTGTTAAGCCTCTTTTGGAAGGAGGAGCTGATGTTAATGCTCAAGATGAGAATCATAATTCCATACTAAGTGTTGCTGCTGAAGAAGGGCATGCTGTAATTGTTGAAATGATTTTAAAGTATTGTCCTGATATAAACAACCAAAGTAATAGGAAGGCTATTATTGCCGCAATTCATGGCAAAGGAAACGAGACTAGTAAAATGGTTGATAGTTTGCTGAATTATGGTTTTACTGTTGACCCGGAAGACGTAAACGATGACCAGTTGCTTTACCACGCTGCTGGCAGAGGGTGTGAGAGAATTGTTGAAAGACTTATTAACTATGGTGCTGATGTTAATATGTTAACCAATGGGTATGCATCTTTACACACTGCAACTGAATGGAATCAGGAGGAAGTGGTTGAACTGTTGATAAACAGTGGAGCTGATGTCAACTGTAAAGATATGCACGAAAAAACTGCAATATTTTATGCAGCGGAGATTGCCTGTTTAAAAAGTGCCGAACTACTTTTAACTAATTCTACGGATATTAGCGGTAGGGATGAGAATGGAAGATCGCCACTACATTTCGTTGCGATGAGGGAACATGATTGGTACGTTAGAGACTGTCCCAATAACGATATGGATAGTGCTAGGGCAGAAATTGCCAAACTGTTTTTGAATAAAGGAGCGTGTGTAAATGCCCAAGATGTAGATGGCACTACAATACTCCACGCTGCTTGCAAAGAAGGATATGTCAAGGTTGTTCAAGCTCTTTTAGAACATGATGCAGATGCGAAGATGCGAGATAACAGTGGAAAAACACCTCTCCATCTTTCTGCGCAACAAGGAAGTGAAGCAATTAACAAGATGCTCTTGAACAGTGGAGCCAACGTAAATGCCGAGCAAGAAGATGGATTAACTTCTCTAGACATTGCAATTGACGAAGGCCATATGGATATTGTTAAACTATTGCTAGAATTTGGCGCTGACACCGAATCTAAAATTGAAAATAAAACACCACCCCTCCATTTGGCTGCTCGAAAAGGAAATTGCGAAATTATGGAGACTATTTTGAAATTTGGTGCTGATGTTAATAGTAGAGATGCATATGGTAGAACACCACTGCACGTTGCCTCTAAAATGGGATTTGAAAAAATAATCGAAACTCTTCTACAATATGGGGCTGATATTAATATTACTAGTGGATATAACTACACAGCACTTGATTATGCCAAGTCTGGTATAAAATATAGGCCGGACTTCAATTACGAGTGGGATGATGAAATGGAATTGAATCGTAGTACCCTTCTTTTTAAGCGCGCTGCCTTTTGTCAAGAAACCCTTGAAGCTCTCACACATCACCTAGTTAAAATGAAAGTGGCAAACTTCTTTGTAAGTGAACAAAATTTAAGGTTTATAAGCGAGTATGACGGAATCGGTCGTTTTATGGATGATTGCACGGACGAAAGAAAGCGGATGAAAACCGAGAAGATTGGTAATGCTAACATTTCATTTGATGAGATCTTGACAAAAGGTGCAAATTTGTTAGCATTATGTATGGGGAATGAAGGTATAGTGGATGGTTTAAAAACAGAAGATTATAAAACTAAATTTCCAATATACGCTAGCATGATAGAAAGTAGTGTAAAAAGGGCTATGAGAAGGAAAGATTTAAATGAACAAGGTAAAAAAGATTTCAACTTGCTCTTTCCTGAATTACACCACGACTGCACTGAAGAAATATTAAGTTATCTTAATGATGCTGATATAAGGCGCTTTATTGAAGCTTGTAAACCCATTGTAGGAAAATTAAGCCCACCGTTCTTTGCAAATTGTTAGAATGATATGATGTACATATAATAACATTAAACAAACTATTTTGTCTAAAGCGAATAAATAGTATATTTGTTTTTCTTTCTTGCTTATTCAACAATGATTTATTTTAGAAGTATAGGTATACCTAACTAATATATGGTATCACCAAGATTTTTTCACAGCCACGGTTTCCCATTTTCTATTTTCCTTACTCTACATTAAATTATGCCTGGCATTTATGATGCGAACAAAATATCTGGACGCGTCGGAACACCTATTTCCAATAGGGCAATCTTTGCCATTAGGGGTCTTTAAAATGCCCTTATTCGTTTTGATATCGACCGGGAGCACTTTTCCTTGATTGCTTATTTCAAAATAATCGATAAATCAATTTTTCAAGTCGCGCGCAAGATGTCAAAGCAAAATAGCTCCACTAAGAGCAAACGTAGGGTACGTTCAAGTATTGTAAAAAGTTGACATGCATTGGTAGAGCGCAATCATTGTTTATGTTTCATTTACCAAAATATCTGGTAGAGCCGTAAGCAGGGACTTTGGTTTTTAGGAGAATTGTTCAAAAGAAATTTCCCTTATGTGATGATTTTGTCCGTCCGTCTGTTCCGCGTCTAACTCGAGAACAAAAACAGACGGCGATCCCAAACCGTCTCCAAACAATTTCTACGAGTTCAAGGATCAGTGCTATTGAATATGAGCCGTGTTAAAAGTCGTGTTTCCGAATGCGAGTTGAGTAGGGATTTCCTATATGCATGTCTACTTTTAAATGACAAAAATCCATCTGAATGACGCCTAATTTTATGCAACCGAAATAACATGCGCACGCAATTTCCATTGTCATTCTACATCTCCTTCTTCACAGGGCCATAGCCTTCACTTTCGGTCTGGCTACGGTTCTGCTTCTTGACGGACTTGTTTGCTTGGCTTGACTGTAGATTTTAATAAAAACGACGGTGAATAGTACAGCAAAATGTTTATTTGTTTTCAGATTTTGGTTGCATAAAATTAGGCGTCCTTCAGAAGAGTGTTTATCATTTAAAACTATACATAGGAAATCCCTATGTCTACTTCTAAATGAATATCACTGTACGTAAAGATACCGTGACGATGGCAAGGCTGGAGGGAGAACTCTCGCAACCAATAGCGTATGAAACAGGCATTAGACGAGGAGATTTGTTGAGTGTGTTAATATTTAACGTAATTATAAATAAAATCAAATAAAGTAAATGATATAGAATAGGAACAAAGGAAATTCAAATAATATGTTACGCCTACGATGCCATAATAATAGCGGAAAATGAGGATGACCTACAAAGATTAATTAAACAGTTTGAAGATACGGCGCTCTAATATAAGTAACAAGATAATTTCAACTGATAAAACCAAAACCATAGTAATATCAGCGGAACCAAAAAGATGTAAATTGGTTGTTAATAACAAAATGACAGAATAGGTAATGCAAGCGGAATATTTGGGAGGCAAATTGTCGATGTACAAGAACAAGTGATTAGGGCGAACAGAGCAACAGGATGCCTAAACAACACGATATGGAGAAACCTTACAATCGAAACGAAAACTGGGATACATAAATCAACAATAAGAGCTTTAATGACATACACCGCGGAAACGAGGGCAGACATGGCCAAAATACAAAGATTATTGGAGATGATGCAGATGAAAGACGAAAAATAACAAATCAAACTCTTAGAGATATAATAAGAAGTGATAGGAAATTCGTACGAGATGTGAGATAGAAGAGAAAACAGTGAACCAAAAACAGGAAAATAGAATGGAATCAACAATAGCACAGATTAACTTAATCTGTGACAATAGCAAGAAACAGATCGCCAAACGGAAGAAGAGCAATAGGTCGCCCGAGGAAAAGTTGGTCAGATATCATTTGAAGCTAGAACCGAAGTTAAAACAGACAAAACTTATAGAAATAGCAAAAAGAAGAAGAATCTATTTCAAAAAAACAGGTTAAAAATACAATTACTACGCGGCGGTGAACATTCCAATTGTGGTCATTTTACAAGATTCTCACTCCTCTCATTACGTGAGTGTATGTTGTGTTGCCTATGCGTTGGAAACATTGACTGTTCATTCGCTGTTCATTGTAACTTCTTCCCACAAGAAGCAGTTGATATACAATACGATTAAAAATACCAGACCATTTTTAAATATTGAATCGGATTTTACAATTAAAATTAAGTTTGATAAAACGTCAATCTTTTTGTCTCTAACAATTAATAAATTAATAATTTCATGCATACAGTTTCGGTCAATTAATGGAATTTCTAATATGTTCATTCTTCACACAATTTTGAGATAATAGACTCCAACTTCCCAAACAGCCTAATCACAGTTTTTGAGATCGTCTACAGTTTTGAGTAGTTGTTCGTCTGGCTGCGCTCTTTTTGGGGCTAGAGTTGTATGATTGTTGGAAATTTGTAAAGAATAGGTATACGCGAAACAGCCAGATTTATCAAAATAAGAATACGTAAACTCTTCTAAATATAATTTAGAGCGACCCGAATAAACTCCCCCACCATGGAAATATGTCTTCAATTATGTAAAATATCTTAGCGATTATCAATACGTAACACGTTTAACAAACGGCCATTTCGGTTGTGCTCCTCATACACTGAAAGTATGCCCGTTTCTTCTCTGCAGAGACCATCCTTTTGGAATTATAAACCTTCGTCGAAAAAGAAAGTAAGCAATATTTTTCTCAAATCTGTTCCAATTATGTTTGGCAAAGTTTCAGTAGAAAAAGAACATTTAAATACGAATTTATTATTTATTGTGTAATAAATTTTGTTCTTATTTCCGATTACTTTGGTGAAATGTTTTTATTTTCGTGAATGTTTTAAATTCATAAACCGCCCTTACTCTTGTATTAGTAGATGCTTTCGACTTTAACTTTGCGTATTTAATAACGCGTTACCAATCGTATAAAGGAACATGTACTTGGTCTTCTTCAATGGTGTAAATTAAATTATTTTGTTTGCTGCTAATTTGGCAAAGGGCAAAGAGCGAGGCAAAGAGCAAATGGTTGCATTCTTACTTTACAAAAAGTTATTTGTTATAAAATTCTATTTAAAACGCGCACTGTATAAGCCGACACTCGTGCCAAAATTTGCTTTGTATAAATCACACTTGAATTGTTTAACTTTTATATTTTTAAACATTTGTTTTGTTGCTGTGATTGTATAATATTTTTAAATGCAAAGTCGATTGGTTCCGATAGCGTCTGCAGCTGATGCGTGCAGTTTCTAAAGATTGCTAACATAACATTACATTATTTTGGCGATCCTCCACTTTAACATCCGAATTGCGAATTGATAGATTTTTTAATTTTTTGCAACGAAGATGCGTGATATTGACTTGATCAACTTCCAGAAGAAGTCACTGAAGAACACCTACAATGCTAGAACGAGCGTTCGAGTGGAATTGTGTCATTGCAATAAAATAAATGATTAATCTTTGTAGTTTGCGAGAAATCAAACAATCATCAATCGCAAAACTAAAAAAGATCATCAGAGTTCACAAAAAGAATCACTTTTCCAAAATCTATGGGACTGGACAAATTTATACAGCAAATTTCATGAAAATTTGATGATTTTTAGTTGTCTGGCCAAGCAATTGGAATTTCCTTTCACGTTTACTAAAACTAATAAATTATAAAACCCTCCACATGCCAAATTTTGTCAAGATTATTTTCGCATCCCCTAATTTTATCGAATATAGAATGCTGAGTTAAAGTAGGTACCCATTCTTTACACAATAACTTTACATCCCTGTTATAATAAAAGGTTTTGAATTTTTTTGATGTACCTCAAGTAAGGCATATTGGACTCGTAGTCTGTTTAGAAAAACGATCCTTTTGTCGCCCTGAGTAACTTAAAGCATGCAATATAAATGTATTCTTTACGCGACAGTGTTCCCCTTTCCCTAATTTTAGTTGGAAGAGCAACAGCAATATCTTTCAGGTTGGACGTCGGTTTTGGGTTGTTATTTATCTTATCTTTTTCGCACTTATTTACGGATTCCCACAAGTCCCTTTTTAATTGACTCGTCTACTAATACTATTTTTATTGTTTTACATGTAAAATGATTTCCCATTAATCATCTTGTTGCTCACCTAATTGGGATAAAATTTGGAAATCGTTTGCAAAATCAATGAACCCAATTCTGTTTGGGAATTTTTTTTATTTTTTTCAACAACGGAGATCAATGGTACATCGACAAAGCCCAAAAACTGTAAAAAAGTCATCATATCGCATATTTCACAGAAATTATTTTCTCACATCCTGGTCGGGGCTAAAATCCTTTATCCATCAATGCAAGAAGTACTTTATGTAACAATTGAGTGAAAACACCCTACTTCACCCCGCCTTTTAATAGTGTTTTAATTCCCAAATTAATTTTTAAGTGAATAATCGTATTCTACGCTCCCGAAAATAAGAGACACCTGGATCGCATACACATTATGACCGAAAGCATCAGAAAAACACTTCAATTTGGTGCTATTTTTGACGCCATCTCGAATAACTCCACTTCCGGTTAGAATTTCGTGTTGGCAAACGGCATTTTCAAATTCGGCCTAGTCGAATTAGAAGGGATAACGGCTTTCACTCAATTGTTACATGAAATGCTTCTTGCATTTGGATTTTCGCAAAACCCGACTATCCCGTAGAATTATTATAATCTATACACATACTAAGTTACATCCTCGTTGTGGTAGATATTGCGGAACTTTCTTGAAGAAGCTCCCCAAACGACTTCCACCTACTAAAACCCTTCCCCTGTTAACCAAAAGTTCTCTCCCCAACCCCGAAAAACGCGAGCATTACATAAGGTTGGGTGGTGTTGGGTGGACATATGTTCGCACACTCATTGTTAGCCAAAGTGTTGTGCTCATTCCCCTCTGGCGTTATTTTCCCCATCTACTCTTATTTACTCTCGTGCCGTACACCAGGGTGAAGAAATTACTTATTCTGTTCCACTTCTCCTCCTCGCCGCCCATCAGCCTTACAATATTCAGCACCATTAAACCGACCCCCCACTGCTGCCTCAAGTTCTTCTCTCTCGTTGCTCCACCTTATGCACTGGAGGAAGGGATGCTCCTAAGGATGCTACTTGTCGTCTCTCATTGTAATAAGGTTGTACGTCCAAGAATTTCTGACACCCCAGTGTACTTCCCATTTCTCCCGCTTGCCGGGCCCTACTCAATTCTTTTCTCTGACCTTCATGATCCTCGCCGGTTCAATGCTAGCGATCACTAAAACGGGGTCCTTAGCTGAAATGCAATAGCTGCTACATGTTCCTATGCGGATCAGACGTAACAGCCAGGTTTCCTGGAAGCGTTCCAGCGCCCAGCCTACGTCGTTTATCGCATCCTGTTCTTTACTCGCCCCGAATGTAAGTTTTTCTCGGTTCATCTAATCCGTCCACCAGTAAACCCTTCTTCTCCCTTTGCCTCTCTTCAGGCTGTATCTCCACTATAATTTCCTGCAACCTTTCAGTGTCCATTCTGGGTGCATTCCAGCTTGCACTGCGTATTTCCTCCATAGGTGCCGGACTCAGGGGTTCATCCTTGAGGTCCTACAGTGCGTCATTTTGGTCACTTAATGTGTCCTGTTGTGGGACTTCTAACTCGTCCGAAACGAATGTGACGTCTATTATAGTGGTGTGCTTTCCCCTCGTGAACGTGACGTGGGATTAGTACCTTTGTTTATGGGGACCATTCCCAACGGCTCGGCCCAGTCCATAATCATCCATATCACTCCATAATCACACACTTTTAATCACAGGGATTCTGGTTTTAGATATGGATAGATTGTTGACAGGTTTAATTAAAGATCATTTTCAGCGGCCCGAAATTTCCCTTTTCAAAGAGGTACCTATTGCAATAATTTATTGCACAGCTGTTTAGGAAAATAGTGTGTAGGAGGTTGTTCTGCGTCTGATGTCGATACCATTTCATGTTACGTTGTGTAACATTGGTTTCTGAAACATTCGCCAAATCCTGCCAACAATATTTTTCTAATTTTAACGAAAGCGCTTATCAAAATCGGATGAAAAGCCTTACTTAACATTTATTTCTTCGGATGAAATTCCAGAAATGCGTTATTGCAGGCGAAAGTTAACGTTCCTTAAAATTAAATTAGCGACGGGTGTTAAGAGCGGTTCAGTTTAGTTTACTTGCGATCTATTTTTGACAGCCCACAAGGGGCCAGGGAGACGGGCAATTCGCCCAGAAGCTAAATCAACCTGAGGTTTTAGGCACTTGTTTATTCGCGACTGTGTCTAAATGTGAAACCTGTTGAGTGATCTTTTCAGTAATTAGGTGCAATTAATAATTAGTGTTAACGCGTATTTGAAGCGGTGAGTCTCAGTTGTCCGAAAGCAGTGTAGTTGTGCACCCCCTCACAATGGGGGGTAGGTGTCACGAATTTCTTCTAACTTTGAAACGAAAAAATCCAAATGCGTCCTGGGGATTTAGTCTTGTAGGGGGTGCGGATGTAAACACTCCTCTGATCGTAACGAAAGTAATTTCCGATTTATACGGGTAACGTGGTGGTTTAATGTGAACTTTTGTGCAGGTAGCTTTTGGATCACCATCGGATGGTGTTCTGCAGAGAGGCGACATCATAAGCAAAGTTGGAAATTATGATGCTAGGGATATTCGTCATGAAGATGCCCAAAATTTGTTTAGGAATGCCGGAGATAACATAAGGATTGTAGTTCAAAGGTAAGGGGAGGTGTTTTCCACATTTCCGATTATGTTTGGGGTGTTACAGGGACCATCAGGCCAGACCGAATACCAGTACTGGCTCATCCAGAAGTAGTTCGCGTAATTATGGCAGCCCCCTGTCGGTATCTCCACATTTATCACCAAGAGGAGGTGGTGCGTACCACGCCGGATCAGCTTTAATGCCGACATACGGCGCCCCTTTTGAAGAGATGCGCGAAGGGTATTTTGATGAAATACCGGACATTAGAGGTCAGCGTCGTAGAAACGATAACATAGACGTTCACGTTGTTAATCAGGTATGCTTATATTTGATTGATATATTTTTAATTCTCTCCAAGAATAGAATTAATCCTATATGCCAGATATTTTAATGCAATATGACATTTTAGCTCTACTTCTACAAAATATTCTAACCTACTGATATAATAGAACACGCATTTTTAGAAAGTGGAACAGTTAGGAAACAATGCCCGAATTCCTCCGCTCACAAGCTTCGTCTGGGTCACTTAACTCAAATTTGAAAATTGTGGTTCTCTATTGAATGTACTTAAAGTCTTTAAACATATGATAATCTTCAGCTGTTGTTGTCATGATTAGGCAAGGTTTGGATGTACTCCAGGAGATAGCAATTTGTTAGAGCAATAAACCGCAAAGATTGCAATTTAACACTTGGAAACATTAGTTTTCATTCATTTTACGTTTGTAACTTTCAGAACTAGATACTATGGTATAATTAGTGGGTATTTACCTCGGTATTTACGGAAAATGAATCAATGAATGAATAATTGAACGAGATTATATAAATACCGTGACTTTGCGAAAAGACCCTTTGATCTCAACGTGCATTTTTATTTTTTCCGGGAGCGGTATGTCCTGGGCGCGAATTGTCCTAGGAGCCAACGGTGTCCACCGAGACATAGGTAAGCTTCGAATCTGAAACTCCAAATTGAAATGAAACGTAGTCCTTTAATTGAAATGAATGATTCATAGACATTTGATCGGTTATTACACCATAGCATAAAGTAAATCGCGTTCGAAAAACGTCCGATGTTTCATTTCATATTTAATGCGCTGTTTACTCAACATGTATAAGAAATAGATTCCATTTTCTAAAAGTAGAGTACGATATCGAATTTATTTATAGTAAAATGCAATGCAAGAAACCACTCGGATTTATACTTGGAAGTTCTCGACTTTAACTGTCCGCTGGATTCAATTTAGGCGAAATTGAGATCTGTTTTAAATCAAACTTCAAAGGGTTAATTAATAATTACAATAAGTAATAAAGCGTAGGTGTAGGTATACACATTACATTTAAATTTCCTGGGTTTCTCAGTATCGTTTCAGAAACCCCGAGTTCGACTGAAATGCTGGAATCCTAGATTTGAATCATTTTTGAGGTTTCAAAGGCCAAAAACGAATACTTCCAGAAAAAAAAAAGGATTTGTGATGCAGATGCGTTACATCGTTTATTTTGTATTGAATCATTCCATTGGGGATCCGAATTTTAAAAGGATTTAAATGTTTGAAGGGTTTGGAAATTGAAGTTCAAGAAAAAACCGGAAATTTTCGCATCCATCTTTTATTTGCACAGTATATTTTAAAAAAAACATGATTTGAGAATTCCTCAGAACTGATGGAATGTTCAAATTTGTCCAAGAAAGAAATTAATAAACAATTTCCCCTACAAATCTTGCCATCGGAAAATTTGCTTGCGGAGTGTCCATCCTCAGAGAAACCTTATCCGCCGCCGGAAATTCCCCTTCTCTTCTGCCAAATATTCGTTCCTACAAATCTCCCCCTAGGAACGGAAAATTCGTCCTCGAAAAATTCGCACTAGAAATCTTTACCTTCTGAAGATTCGCGTTCAGGAAGGTTCGACCTTAACAGACTGACCTCAAGAAAACACGTCTCTTTTAATTTTTATAATGAGATACACAACAAAGCAATATAGTATAGTAGAAATATAGTAGAAAATAAATAATTGTTATTCTGTACGGCACTGGTCAAAATTTTACTGAAACAATTAATTTTTTGTAATGAAATAATTAATACCACGGCTGGCTCAGCAATGAATAAATTATATCAATGACTCTTACCTTGAGAAAGGTTGGTTCTTTATCTCCACTTAAAATCTGAAAATTAAAACCTGATACGGCACTCCAAATATAGCACAATATACGTTTTACACCTTGGACCTCAACGCTTTCGTGGTACAATTTATTTAAATGAAAGCACGCTAACCCGACAGTACTACGAAGCGAAATTGTTCGTTTACCTTTTAAAAGGGGACACTCAAGGTTCACCATTCACGGTTGAAAATTATATCAGCCGACCGGTCGACTCCACTAAGCAATCAAATTCCCCTTTTTGTTTAAATCCGTTACTTATTGTTAGCTTACTTGTAATGTCAATTTAAAAAGCACCCAGGCAACAATTTCGCCGAAATTGGTGACAGAAGTCTTCCGTTTGCGCGGCTAATGATTCTTGTTTATGAAGCGGATCTCCAAAATGGTACACGCAGCTCACTAGATTCGCCTCGAAAGTTTGGCCAAGAGTGCCTTTCTCCCATCCAATTTTTACTTATGTACCCGCCGAGCTCCGGTGTTGCAACGGGCCCACCGAAAGCCAAACGTTCACTCTGTTTTTCATACATGTGAAGGTATAGCAAAAACACCGTGTGTGATTCTCCGTCACGACGGTTTTTAAAATCGGCAACACTGTAGCGTTTTGTCTCTTATCTGTTGAACACTCGTTTCTTATTTTAACGTGCTTTATTTTCTCGCATATGACTATCTCCTACAGAGATTGAATATGGTCCTTCGAACAGAATTATTTAGAGATTGCTTTTACTCATTTTGGGGTGTAGGGTTACAGTATTCAATTGGCATGAGTGACGGTATGTCACCTTAACTACCCCAATTCTCTTACCGAGATTCAACAAGGAGAATATTTTGGCATTTGTCCCGGAGTCGAATATTTCATTAAAGTGAATTTATCTGCTGGTAGAAGGTAATTTTACAGGGTCAGCAACGAATTTTTCTTCTATGGGGAATAGTTGAATCACCTCTTGTCTATGAAGAGGTATCCCCACTTTTTTTCTGGCTCTCGACTCTGACCACGTTTTTCTCTGTTCGTCGTGACAGTTTTTTGGAAGTTGCATAAGCTACTGACGCACTAAATACGTCTACCGTTTCGTTGCTTTAAATAATTTACCACTAATGTCTATTCTGATTCAAAGGATGCAAGTGATTCCATTGGCGATGGTCAAGCGTTTCTCATTCAAAAGAAATCCAATTTTAATAATACCTATCGCTCTTATGAACAACGATGACACTTACCTAACAAATTACGTATTATTTTACCATAGCAATAACAAGTTTGCTTCATTCGTGCGTGGAGAAAACCGATGCGGAACGCGTGGTGGTTCTCATTGTTTGTTTGTTTATTTTTGACGGTCTGTTACTTTAAAAGAAGTTCCACAGAAATTGGTCTTAAAAAAATTAGAATAGATTCATACACACGGTGTTTTTTTTGGAAGCTCGTTTTTACGTTGATTGCAGTATTTAAGGAAACACCATAGTATAATAATAAGGTCTTTATTAGATGACGATCTAAAGGGCGAAGTTCACCTAGGGGCAACATCGCCACCAGGTGTTCTTCCACTTAACCCATAACATAACTTCAGTTTAAATGTTTACAATTTCGATGGACGGGTGACAAAGAGAGAACACACACACACACACACAAAGACAATACTGTGAAAAAAAAAAGTTAATTAATAAGTAACTTGAGAATGGGACACTTTACTCGTTCAAAAGAATGTGACGTAGTGCTGATTTAAACCTGGACACTGTAAGCTTTTTAATATTCGATGGAATGGCGCATTGTAGACAGTGGTAATGCTATATGAAAAAGGTTTTTTGAATATCTCTGAACTATGAGAAGGGATAGTAATGAGATCCTTTCGTCTGATATTTACACTATGAACGTCAGTTCGAAAGGTGATTTTATTATAAAGATACGGTGGTGTTTTAAAAAATATTATTTTGTGATACAAAATCGCCGCGTGAAGGAGTCGACTTTTTTCCATATCAAACCAGGATATTGATTTTAATTTATGCGAAACGCTTTGAAATTTACGTATGCCATAAATCAATCTTAAGCAAGAATTCTGAATTACCTGTAACCTTCTCTTATGCGAGTACGAGAGTCGAGGACCATATACAGCACTGCAATACGTAAAGTGAGATAATACAAGTGACCTACAGAGCAAAATTTTTGATGAAATTGATAATAAGGATCTAATTCCATATACATATGTACCGAAGACTTGAGTACATTTTTTAATATGAGTGTTGTAATTAAGTTTAACGTCAATAGTCAGACCGAGATTTCGGGCTTTGTCTACCAACTCCAGTCTTTCTCCATCAATCCTTATATCCAAAAGCGCACACACTTCCTCACGGGCAACAACATTATATTGAGCGCCAAATAACATCAATTTACATTTACTTAAGTTTATATTTAATGAATGCTGAGCTGCATAAGAAATGAAATTATTTAAATCTTCATTCATTTCTTTATTAGCCTTGGCGATATCGGATTTATCAAAACTGTAATACAACTGAGTATCGTCTGCACACAAATGATATTTGCAAAATTTTAGCTTTTTAATGATGTTTGCAGTGTAAATTGAAAAGAATATGGGACCTAAAATAGAACCTTGCGGTACTCCACACTGCAGATATGCCGTATCTGAACAATTCCCATCGACTGCAACTACTTGGCTTCTATCATTTAAATAATTAGATACAAGTCTAATGGAATGTTCGGCGAAGCCAATGGAATACAACATAGAAACAAACAAATCATGATTTAAGGTATCGAACGCTTTTGAAAAATCCAACAATATTAACACTGTAAATTTGTGACTGTCCACGGCTGACAAAATATCGTCGGTTACCTTAAGTAAAGCCGTCTCACAACTATATCCCGATCTAAAGCCTGATAGCATTTCTGGAAAAATATTATGCTGGGGCTCCTTTAAACATTTTCAAATAAATCTCCAAATGAAACGCGAAATTCTTAGTAAAATCTACATCTCCTTATCAGCACCAGAACAAGTGCGATATTTAAATTTTGCCTGATAATAAAACTTCTTATCGCAAAGACCAGATGTGTCCTACTTCTAACCTCTTATTTAAATTGAATAAATTATAAAAGCGATAAAATTTAATCAATTTACAACAAGGAAAAACAACAGTGAGATGCCAATTCAAATAAAACGAACCACGTCTATGCTCCCGTGCGAGCATAAAAAACACAATAGGCAAAATTAGAGAGGTTCTGACATCCCTAACATACAATCAACTTCTTATTTTACTACAACACCAAAATCTGTCGCCGTTGTCTAATCTATATTATGAACATGTCTCTTAAGATACGTTACAATGAAAATGACTAATTAGATAACATACTAAAAAAAATGAATTTTGAACAAAGCGCACAAGGCCTTGACAGCGTTATGACAAAAGGATCCGCTTTTGCTTCTTCATTTCTAATCTGATAAATCTATGCAATGTTTTTTTGTTGGTACCTAGTTATTTTGAAGAAATTCTTAATGACCCGCAAAAAATAAAATGAAAAAACAACATACTTCCTCAATAAAATTGCTTTAGCGAAAATTTTATGTCGGCTAGAAAATTCTGCCAAAATCTTACTTACATAAATATTTGTCAATGTCAAAAACAACTAAATTTGCTCCGAAAGTCTACGCCTACGATTTTTGATTAATATTTTATCATGACCTAGTTAACAGATGGAATTTTGTTACAGGATAAATACCATGTTATCCAGTGAAGTTACCTTATTATTTCAAAGGGTGTGAAAACTGGTCCCAAATCTTTATAGCGAATTTGTGGGTGACACTGTAATTGAACTTTTGTCTGTAAATCAAGATTTGGGGACAACTGTTTCGTCTTTTTCTAAATATTCCGCGTTATAAATAAATTTCTAGAAAACACATGTTGCTTGCAATCAATTTTGAATTTGTAAAATCGAATACTCGCCTAAGCTATGGAAAGTGGCGAAAATGTATTAAAAATATAATATTTAGTACCGACGTCACGGGTGGGGCATATTTTCAGTTATTCCATCAGTTAATCTTAGGTATTGGTAAAGTGTAGTGATTTTTCCAACCATGATCCTCACAAGAATACATTCAAACTCTTTTCATCCAGAAAATGAAGGAGCTATTATGTGGGTAAGAGATGCTACACAATCATTCCATTTTTAAAACAGTGTTCATTTTTCATTCTTGCCAAAATCTGGACAAGCGGAACGGGATGACATAATTTTAGAATAAAATCTTCCACTTCGTTCAAATTAAAAGGTATTTTTAGACACCTAACCTTCACACCTTTAAGATATTTCAGGGACGATTAACTTTCTTAGTCCATCTTTGAATTAGCTTTAAATTCGAGCAGTGCAATTTTAAATTGCGCAAAAACCTTAGACAGCCCATTTTAGAGCGCTAAGAATAGACGTTGCGAAATAGACACTTGCCAATTTATCACCAAATCATTTAGCATTTCACTTTCTTGAATAAGATCGGCCATTATAATTCATTCTGAAAATGAAACACTTTTTTTTGCCAAATTTGCTTTTTAAATAAAGCAATTGTTTCATGTGGTAGATTTTGTGCGAGTTGACCTTATCGGCACTTGGCGCGCTCCGACGAAGTTCCATCTAAAATTAGGCGTTTTCAATTAAAAACGTAATAAAGGAGTCATGCATATTTCGAAATGAAATCCTTTAATGCTTCCTGGCGATTTAGAAGGCCAGTGGGTATGTAGGCTTGGTAGCTGTCCAAATTGATAATTGCGTCAAAAGGGGCCTAGTTCGTTCGTTATGAAACCGATAGATTTGGCTCAACACTAAGGTTAAGCTACGTCATTTTCAATCACGTATTCCAAATGGAAGAGTTCTCAAGTTCATTGGCAAAATGAAAGAGTTCCATCCGTTATTTTTTCTCAGTGGGAGTAAAGAGCAACGATCTCAATTTTAGAATTACATTGCGGAAGCCTGTACTATTTCGATCATCCCACGCAACTGAAACGTTTTTGAAAAGTGATCTTGTTGAGATAAGCAATCCACATACCAAACATTAAGCCATAGTTAATTTTTCCGGACTCATGACCAACGATGATTTAAATTGTAACTACGTGAAACTGATGTATTTTCTCTGACGCCCTGGGAAAAGAAGATCTTGTTTCAACCAGAAACCGTATAGAAGACACAAGACTAAATTATGCTAGCAGGGATCAGAGAGACCCACTTTGTGTTAAATTTCAACTGAATATATGCAAAATACTTTGAACCAGGCGAAGACTTGTTTCATCCCCTTAGTAATGTAATTCATGCTCTTATGTGTGAACTAGTACTCATTGTCTTATTATCTGTTGTGGTAGCCATATCGTACAACCCCCCTAGTACTACCGGGGGCAAAAGTGAAACCTGATCAAACCATCACTGAGTGTTACCTTCGTCATCATCCAAACCCAAACGTCAGAGCACGTCCTCACCACCTAGACGCAGACTATTATTATAAACAAAAGGTATTTGCAACTTCAGTTTAATTATTTGCTTTTACTGCCTTAGTTTATCTTGTTCACTTGCGCGTAGAACAATTGAGCTTGGGCTAGCTTATCCATATACTGGGTGTAATGATGCTCTGATTATTTGCTTTTGTTACTTTAGTTTATGTTCTTCACTTTCGCTTCCGCTTTTTATTCAGTACATAATAATTGCGCGAATCTCTCTCATCTCTATGATTTACCTACATTAGGTTGCCGATTCTGTACTACAAAGAATTTCTACCGATGATCCTTCAAAGCAGGTTAATGTTTTTTTGTTTGAGGATCTCTTTATAACGCATTTAACACGTTAACAAAGATTGTGTGAATCAAAGATTGTGCTTCTTTTTCATTTGTTAAAGTACTAATAGACATTAACATCGATCACCGAAGCTACTGGAACTGAAAACTATGGTTCCGGAAGAAATGCTCGCAAATAATTTTTAAAAAATGTTTATGTAAGCATTAGGGATGGACATGATTCCAACTATATTATTCATTATACCATTTTGTCAGCACTTTTGTAATTTTTCATGTTCTCTGTTCTTCGATGTCGCTTAAAGGCTTTTCGTGTTCCTCGTCAGTCGTCATTATAGCATCCTCCTCTTCGTTTAAAGCTTCTTGAAATTATTCATTTCATCTTTCCTTTATTTGTGCATTATAATGTTTGTCTGATCCCCAATATCCTTTTCTTTTAGTTCTCACTTCTTTATAACATTTTTTTACTTCATTTCTTTCATAGGAATGGAAAATTTTGTTTTAACTTCTGCTCCGTTTTTAGTTAAAATGGCTTATAAATTATAGCGATATTCTTTTCGTTGCTCCTTGTCTTGATTATCCATTTTTTCCATATCTTCTTGCGAAATGTAGTATTTATGCATTCCATTCATCTTCTTTAAATTAAAGTTCTTTTTTATTAAATAGAGCTGGTCCTTTTTTTAATAACGATCAAACACAACTTGTGCACGCAATTTACGCTGAGTATTACGGAACTACAATTCACTTTTCTATAACGCTCCAGAATGACACTTGGGCTTCCTCTCACGTAATTTTTTCCACTTGGGCAAATGGTCATTTTCCAAAAAAACCAACTGGCTAAAATGGACTACAAGATCGCTTTGAATCTACATACTTAAAACTGTCTTTCCTAAGCTCGGTTATCCGAACGCTCTGGACCTTTCTTTGACCAGGTCGGCCAAAAAAATCTAATCTTCCACTCTCTATCTAGCTCCATTGCCAAAGCGAGAATGCCTAATTTTGTGCAAAACTAATCCCCTCTCTATAGTCATTTTTTTAACACCTACTTCATGATGGAAACTTGAACTCACTATGACCACTATTTATTTGGTGGAATGTTCTTGATACCTTGACTCCTTTTAAACTTACAAATATTTCTTCCGCAAACATCAAAGGAAAAAAATCACAAAAAATTTTTACTCATTACAGCATCGTTGTGACAAGGCCTCTTAGCATTTTGAATTAATGTGTTTTAATTAATGTGTTAATCTAATTAACTGTTTCAGATTAGTACAGCTTTCATACTAAATTAGTTACAAGAACTTTGTTTTGCAACGTTTGGAGGTTTGAACTTAACTATCAGGTTTAAAAAGTGGCAAATCACTACTTATTTTCATACGACAGGATTTTCATATGATAGGATTACTTCAAAGTTGACTCAACGAACCCCAATGATGCAAATTCATTTGGGAATCATTCGTGTGGAATCGAAATTTTGTGACAGCGATCCTGTTGTGCCTGATGTTTAATGCATATTTCTGCAGTATAATCAGTACAGGGTGTCCCAGATTCAGTTAGAATTGCACCGATTATTAAAGATGAAAATTAAAATTCCAACATTCTAACATCTATACTTGAAAATGGTATGAAATTGAAATTCAAGACTATTGATAATCAATAGCAACTTTCTTTTATTTAAATAGACGTGGTATTAGCGTTTTGCATGACCAAGAAGTTTTTTTGACGATATGGGGTTACACACGAGTGAAGAAGGAATATCAGTAAAATCAACTATTAAATTATTTAGTAGGTTTAATTTTCTAATTAATTGCTCTGCTCTTCGCCTTCTTCTATTTATAAATTATCTTTCCATCTTTAAGCGGAAAAGCAATCATCCATATATCGATAATTATTGATAATTGAAGTCTATCCACATTATCGGTAGACATCGATAGATCGATCATTTTTCCCCCTAATCGTGATGTATTATTCTTTCTGCCACAGGTGGCCATTTTCATAATACGAAAAATTATCCATTTATCGATAACATAGAAAATCGATAATTGACAATATCGATAAGCGTCAATATTGATAATCGATATTGACAATATCGACCGATAATATCGGTATAACGATAATTTTTTTTATAATTGACTAGATTTTCCCCCGCGACTCCCTACACTCGCTATTGCCTGATATATGATAACAGCAGCCCAGAGTACAAAATGTAAATGTAAACACATCGGAACAGTACGACGCAAGTGACTTGGCGCATGTATGGATCGATACACGAAATAATAGAGTGCGATATCAACGAAAAAAGAAAGTTTTTAAACAATCTTATATTGCGAACGAATCCAATTGTTCTAAACCATCTGGAAACACACAGAGACACATAAAAAATGTCAGCAAAATCCGTCCAGCCGGAGGAGCTCAGGTACAAACACACGTACAGAAAAATTTTATATATAAAAAAAAAAGATAATCGATATTGAATTTTTATTACTGCTGCAATCCTAATCGATCTGGGCCACTCTGCACCATTTTTGACTTTACCTCGGAAATGGCAACTGAAACAAATGATCTCAAAAATCTAGTGAAATGAAATGAGTTGATTTGCCACTTTCGACCACCCCAACTGCTTAACCAACGCTTTTCTCTTCCCTTAGGTGGTTCACAAGCAATTTAATTCTCCGATTGGTCTCTACAGTGATCCGAACATAGCAGACACCCTTCAAAGACAAACCGGCGCTAACGTGTAAGTAAATAAGCATCCGTTTTACCAAAAACCTCACATCTTCTTGCAGTTCTCGCCGTAACGTGAAATACGATCCATCGAAAAGCGAAACCTACAAAGCGCTCCAAGAGCAAAGCTACTCCGATCGCGTACACGAAGTGCCAGTCCCTCCACAAACCAGAATTTATACTCCAATACCGGGCAAGGTAAAAACCCACAATTTTTAATCTAATTCCGTTTCCTTACGCTTCCCGCACTTTGAAGAAACACCATAACGCTACGCACCATCAACCTTACCAGAACAATACGAACTCATTGGCAAGTCCCGATGACGACGACATCCAACAGAGCCACTCGTTCAAAAGACTAATGTGGAGCGTCCTGCCCGAAACGGATTACTAAACCCATTTAGCCGAAAATGTGATGTTAACATTTTTGTTTTAAGAAACAATTTAGAAATTCGTCTAACAACACATTTTTGAATTTTGTAAATGCAAAAAAAACACCCTTGCAAACACGTAGAGCAAATGATGCAATTTCTTATATCTAAGTTGTTGTTTTGCTTAGTTATATAATCATTCGCTTAATATTAACATAAAATTGTATTTTTTTCATTAACATTATCGATGTTTTATTTTTGAGAGTTTATTTTTATTTATGAAATATTATTATACATACAAAAAGGTACGAGTGAAATCTAGTCAAAACTCTGGGCATGGTCAGTGCCGCTTGTTATTAGACTGTAAGTAATTTTCTAAAAACTATCCCATGTAATTATATTATACTTTAAAAACAAGGAGTGTTGTATAAGATATCTATCAGCCTTAAATAAAAATGTATTTATTTTCATTGGATTGATTGTAGAACAAAGATCCGCAGGTATTAGACAAGATTCGCTGTCATTTTCTTGATGCAAAAATTCTGCCGCAATAGCTTAAGCGTTATTACTAGCTGTGTCAAATGGCAGTTTTTCATTTTTTTTTGCCTTTATTTTTGAGTGGGCGGGGTTTTAGCCAAGGCTGCTCTATCCACTATAGATTTACAAATACCCATGCCCGAACCCGGATTCGAACCAGGAACCCTTAGCACCACAGTCCCGCTTTAACTGAACTTTCCATTATGATCCGCTTTTGACACCTCTACAACTTCCTAATACAGCAGAAGAGTTTTTCTAGATGGCCAATGATGTACAGACACGTGGTATATCAAAAGTGATTAATTTTTTATTGGGAAATACCTTTTCAGGATTGTATTGCATTGCGTTGGTGGTCAAAACTTTAAGAGACAATATCTCGAACACCGTTTGTCGGAGTACGTCACAAAGGCAAGATGCAGCGGCGCCGGAAGGGTAAGGCGAGTAAGGCATCGAACTTAGGCCTCGCGCTTGATAGGCCTCGCACCGGTGTCTGAAATACCATTGAGAAGATGTAATGACATCCATAAATACCAGTAATAATTTAATAAAGTTTCACGACTGCCAGAAAATGTTTTTGTGTACATTGCAATTTGCAAGGTGAATGTTCTTTGCATTCGCTTAACACTTTCTGTTACAGCCACAGCGGAAGTTTGAATGACCCTTAGCATATCATAATTCATTGAATGAAAGAAAATTGCTGAAACGCCAGAAATTGCACCATTTAGTTCCTCTTTTTGTTTTCACATTCCCACTCAGTCGTCAGCTATATCAAGTTTCCTATATAATGTGGTCTTTATTTAAACAAATATTTTATGCCAATTTATATCATATTCGCATGGGGCGAGATTCAGCTCAAGTTAAACGCGCGTGCTGTAAAGAGATAAAGATATTTTTATACCTTACTACCAGTGTATTATAAATAATGATCTTTGCTACCAGTAGACTAGTACGTACCTACCTACAAAGATTATACATTTGTGATTGTGATTATTTAATTAATATTGTTTTCAATTTTCCATTCGACGGATTTTACTTCATTTATTGACCAATTTCCCTACATTAATGTAAGTACTTTTAACTTTACCTACTTGTTTGTAGGTACCTAATTTGTAATAAGCGCTTAGTAACGTTCTTACTATCCTATTTTTATTACCTAATAGACACCCTCTTACATGGCAACGTGAAGTTGTGATGATATGAATGACTAATACTAATAACTAACAACACTATTATCTATTATATAACTTTTATAATTATAATAATAATGTTTATTTGTGCTCATTGTGCAGCTATGGCTTTACACTAGTCAATAGGTATAGAAAAACGGGCATCTTATGAGTTATGACACATACGCATACCTAACATTATGCATAATTTCAGTTTACATCCACAAATTTACCTTTATGTTATCACATCTGTGTTTACCATATTTTCCCGAGAACTACCCTACCTAGCATAGGCCTCTTCGGCGCATTTTGCCTTAGGCCTCCTAAAGCCTAGCGGCGGCGCTG